AGTGTACACAAGCTTGTACACAGGCATGTACCCAAGCGTGTACGCACCAATGCACACAACAATGTACGCAACTTGATGCCCCAACGCAAGTCGCGACATTCACACAAACAAATTGGGGAACGCTGTCCGTCGAAGAGAACGGGTTCCGGCAAGTGATTGAGTTAGTGAATGCGGAGTATTGCATTGTCCGCAAGCCGAAGTCCTTAGAACCAAATGACAATTCGATAGTATTAACCAATCAAGTGTGTAGCTCCAAACATGGAAGACTCACATTTGAAGATGGCGACATTTATTTTGAAGATTATTCGACCAATGGGACATTATTAGACGATGACGCCCACAAACATGACCAAATTAAAAAGGAAAAAGTATTGATTCATCTTCCAGCGACGTTAACAATAGGAAGTACAACGCAGTCGATCATTTCGATCACCAGTGAAGTGACGAAATTTAGTAATGACTATTCCCTCTTGAAGAATTTGGGAAGAGGCGCAACAGCAACGGTCCACTTATTCAAGCGCAAATTTGGGGATATGGGGGAGGTTGCCGTCAAAGTCATTGACAAAAAGAATATCAAAGCGACTAAAGAGACGATGAAGGACATTTTAGCCGAAGCGGAGAATCTGTGTAAGTTGCAACATAAGAATATCGTTCAAATCTATAATGTGTATTACTTTGATTATTATGTATACATGGTGATGGAGTATATTGGCGGGGGGTCACTTGATTCGCGTATCAATTTGGCACACAAGACTTTAAATTCGGACGTTTTGATGTATCCCTTAATCGACGAAAACTTCATTAAAAAGGTCTTTGGGCAGATTATGTGTGCGTTGGCTTATGTCCATAAGAATCACTTCATTCATCGCGACATTAAACCTGAAAATGTGTTACTAACGTTAAACGGCGATGCGAAATTGGCTGATTTTGGTGTTGCGAAACGAATGACTGAAGACAAGTGTTGTACATTTGTTGGGACGTTGGGATATTTAGCGCCGGAGATACGAGCGAGTAAAGAGTATGACTGCTCGTCGGACATTTGGAGTTGCGGTGTCATGTTATTTAACATGTGCTGTTCGAAGGAGTTTGAGAGGTGTTATGATGAGAGAGCAGTGAACAAAATTGCGTTTCCAAAAGAAATGCCGATGCAACTGATTTACTTAGTGGGGAGTATGTTACAGATCAATCCAAATGCACGACCGACAGCAACACAAATTGAGAATTATGAGTGGCTTAGGGGATATGTCGAGCCCGAAGCAGAGAATGAGTCAGTGTATGACTATTCGAAAAGAGTACATATGGAAGAAGAGACCCAAGCAACACAAAGAGACAATTTTGGTGCAGATTTGATGTTTTCGAATCCATTCAATTCGTTTAATATTAACACAGAAGACTTCTTAGGAAAGAAGACGGACAGACTGAGCGACGAATTTCAGAAACCAAAGACACGAAACTCTGATGTGAAGAAACCAAAGAAGAGTGAGAAGAAGAGAAACTGTGTTGTGGGGGAGGCGGGGAAGAGATACCCAGTAATAACACTTCCAGAGAAAAGAAAGTCGAACGGAAGTCTTCGAGCACTTATGACACCAAAAAGCCCAGAAAGTGCGGGAAGTGGGAAAACAGTCATCGATCATTTCACTCCTCCACAGAAGAAGATGGAAGAATTGATGGAAGAGGAAATCAGTTTGGGGAGTGTGAGTTGTCTAAGGGATAATGTCGACGAAATGGGATTTGGTGATACCAAGTTTCCTCGAAGACTCTCTGCGTTTGGGTTGTTAATGTGAATTTATATGATGTTATGTTGTTTGTTGACGACTTCTTCTGGTCTAAGTTTAAATTTATAAGAATAGTAAATATTCTTATAAATTTTATTATAGACAACTTATAATTAATTTTGTAATAAAGGAACGTTGTTGAAGTATATCTTTTGAAGTTGAATTGAATTCCACAAGTCTAAAGGCCTTTGTAATGATTATTTTTTGGTTTAAATTGAGCGATAAAAATCGGGAATTTTTTGGTTCGAATTTTCGACTGTCGTTGGAAGTTGTAACGCTTGTCCAGAAAATGAGTTTATTCAATCAAAATCTTTGAAATGCATTAAAAAAGAATTTAAATTGTTTAAAATAATAAAAAGAAGTATAGAAATACGTTGTGGAACTCGAGGACGGCAGAATGTGCCCAAAATTGAAAAGAGCGAATGCGAAAAGTTTAATAGAAAATGGGATCATTAAACTATACAATAATAATATAATTAATTATATACATAACATTTGTCAACAATTGTTTAACAAAGGAAATCTCAAGAGAGCTGTTTTTATTATAATGACTCAAGAGAGACAGTTTACAAAGGAGTGATATAATGAACTGGAACTCATCGTTAACTAATGAACTTCATTACAATGCATTACGCGTTACAATATTACTTTGAGACAACAGATAACCACGAAAAAGAGAGCTTGCTCTATTTCCAAAGCTGTACACGAAACAGTGAAATCTCATCAATCAATTCACGAGTGAAGAAAATGTTGAAACAAAAAGACTCTCTAAGGAGGTTTAAAGCACTCTTGTTGTTGCACTCAGTCCTTCAAATGGAACAGAATACTCTTTCCAAATATATTGATAATATTGAAACTGAAGATAAACCAACCAAAGAACTGATTGATCAAATTACTAAATTGGTGTATTGGGAACATTTGTATTCAATTGTAATTAACACTGAAATGAATATTCGAAGAAAGTATGACTTTTTGAATGGCTCATTTTCAGTGATAAAAGGGACATCAATTCCAGTACAATTAAGAACATCAGAGTTCTGCGATGAGTTTGAAAAGGATGTTGCAGTGTTATTCATATTAGTCGCAGACTTCGTAGAACAAAAGATTAAAAACGGAGCAGAAAATGTGTATCTTCAAAAAGCCTGTGATCTCTGCATAAAGGATTTGATATCTTTATGTGAGTTGGTACTCAATTTGGATAACTACAAAGCGCTTCTTACTGATTCTTTAATCAACACTGAACAAGCTGAATTGTGCCAATCTCATCTTATTACAATCAAAAATGGCATGAAGAAGTCAAATGACTATCACGGACAATTAAATAGAATCCCACAAATCACTGACTACAAAAAGAGCTTCACAAAATTCAGTTGGTTCACAAAGAAGTTTCCAATCACTCGAAACTTTAATAATTTGTCTGAAACTTCTTTGGATGCATTAGCTCCTGAGACCAGTAACATTTTCATAGTCGAGTAATTAATTATTGTATTAATTATTTTAACTAGTAGGTATAGTTTTTTTTTCATTTATCAGTTATATAGAACAAAAAACTATTATATTATAGTTAACGAATATAATCATAATATAACTCTAATATAACTATATTAATAAGAAGATGTATGAAAGTACTTAAATATCAATACATTATCACTCAATAAACATTCAAAGGTACTTCACAAATCCAGAATTGATGACGTCGTAGAGATACGGCACCTCGTTAATTTTCTTCCCATCAAGAAACACGTAAATTTCAAGCTTACCCGGTTTTGTGAGGAAGATATTCACATCGAATCCATCTTCTCGAGAAACGGCGCACGCCTCCAAACTATCATTTCCTATTTTAGCTTCGACGTGTATCAAATGTATTTGCTTGAACCGTGTTGTGTCGTTAGTCTCGTCGAACGTGTTAAATGGCAACACAAGTAATTCTCCAATTTCCTTTGTTGTGTTTCCCACCACTCCGCAAAAACTCGGCTGTAATTGGTCAAAGTCGATTTCGTCAAAACACAAATTTTGAAGGGGACACCCATTGACTGACACTTTCTTCTGTCCTACAATCAGCCGACAGTCAAAAAAATAACTCCCTGCTTCCATAGAGCTTAAGGTGAATGTACACCCGTCGTTCTTACACGTCAGCGTCTTCGATCGGCTCAAAGATATCGGCACGTTATTATTCAAATCTTTAATAACGTTATTGTACTTATCTGCAAGTAACAAGTATATTGTGTAGTCTCTCCTCACTATCTGTCTCAGTGAGCTATCTACTTTCCTCTGTACTCTAGTGACTTTGTCACCACTCTTCACCTCAACTTCTTGATACAAAAAGCAGTTCTTCGGCTCGATCTCTCCCGCCTGTAACGTGAACCCACTCTCGACTAAGACGTCCTCGCTATTCTTGATTTGCAATGAATAGAATCCCTGCCGTGTTAACACTGGAATTGGTGATCCAAAGAATCCATGTTCTATATTGAGTAGAGTTAATGTGAATCCTTGCTCAGTCGCTTTGTTTGTTATCACACATGTTAACGTGTTGTATTCAATGACATTATCAAACTGATCTCTAGGTTTGTATTTGATAAACAACGAGTCGCCAACATAGTGTTTCGACGGTTTGGGTTCCTCCAACTCGCTTTTGCTTGCGTCAAGTTTCCCTGGCGTTACTGTTAAGTAACACACTGAACTGCTTTGGACAATAGTGACTTCATATAGTCCAGTTAAGTACCCCAATTGAGTCTCTCTTCTATTTTGAGTGTTCCATTCCTTCAATATGTCATCCACCTTCACCGCCTTTTCTATAAAGATTTGTTGCTCTGAATACACTCCATCTCTCTCGCATTGAATAGTTACTGGAGCAGCTCCATTCACGTACAATTCACTCTTAATAATGTCATCCGCTGTTATTTTGATTTGTGTGTTGTTCCATGTGATGTGCGGGAATACGGTGGATCTCCTACTCCTCCTCAACATTCCCGTTCTTTGTGTTTTCGAGTTTTTTCAGTTTACAAATCTTTTTGTCTTTTCCACTGTTTAACCACTTCTCGACTTATTACTATATTTGTAGTTATTTTATTATTAAAGTATAGTAGACACCAAAAAACACTGAAGAACTGAATGTAATAGCTTTTTCACATCGTCGAACACAACATACACGCGTTCCCTTTATGACAACTCTCATGATATATATGTCCACAGTAAAACATTTTGACGCTCCCAGTCGCCGGTTTCTTGCACTTAGCGCAGACCGTCATCGTGTTAAAAGTCACGCCTCTCATTTCCCGCGCCTTAGACAATTTATTTTTAGACTCTGACGTGGCCAATCCAAGAACCTCTTTAAGAGTGTGATTGGAAAACTTTAAGGAGCAGAGTGTGTCGCGAACACTCTCCGAGACATCACCCATCTTGAACGTGTCGGGAACTTCATCAAATAGTTGCACTTTAAATTGTGATCGTTTCAACATAATAGGAATTAACACGGGATACCCAATAACATCGGAAAACACTTTTCGAGCTAACTCGACACTGTTTCTCTTATCAACAACATCAACAACATCTTGAACTATTTTAACGGCATCGGAATTCCTCTCAAATTCATCAACTCTACCGTCATTTTCTTCTTTGTATTTCTTCACTACATCCTTCAGAAATTGAACCCCATAACTCCCAACATCCGCTATTCTCCCAGAGACCGAAGCGTATAACATCTGTGGTCCGTTTTTCTTCTCGTCGATCTGATGTGCAAGCGACTCGAATATCGAGTTTCGCATTGCTTGAGTCATCGCCTTTTCAAAGAGCATAAAGAGTTGTTGGTAGATGTGGAACTCCAAGACAAGACTCTTCAGAGTGTCTTGTTGTGGCATACACATTCTGACAGAGTCATAGTCATTAAAGATGGAAACAATATCTTTCAATCGGTCACTCGCCTGTTTTTCAATGATCTTTAATACAAACAACAATGTCTCCGGATTTTGTGTTTTCAAAGCATATTGACACGCAGCAGAGTAAAGTCCATTATTGATATTAAATTGGATAACAAATCCCTGGAAATCTGAGATATTAGTGTCTGAAACCAACTCTTTCGACGATGTCGTCATCTTCCCAATTTCATTTTGAATCGACGCGGGTAACCCTGGGAATAACAGCACTTCATTATATTTGTCTATTTCGTTCCTCAATATATTTTGGTACTCATTGGCGTTCACCACACTGCCCACGGGGTGGCTTTCAAGATCACTTTTAATTCGAAACGCCTTATAAAAGTCTTCAGTAATGACACATGATGTTTCTTTAGGGTTCATACATGACTTCGACACCAATAAAGTGTTATACCCTCTTTTCAGTTTGTGGTAATACTTCACGCAGTATTGCGTGAAGAACATTAGCATCTTTTCCATATCACTCTTCTTCTCCGTCTCTTGTATGATTGCAACAACGTCCGATTGGTCAATCACATTTTCTCTCAAATGAGTCTCCAAACAGACTAAAGAGTCGTCTGTAATATTCTTCAGGTCTAAGACATACATTCTCCAATAATCTTGGATATCCCCTTTATCTGAAAACTTCTCCTTCGACGCAACTATCTTGTATAACACATCTCGATACATCTTCTTCTCTAACATCATCTTGATTGTATCACTCTCCTTTCTCATCCGTCCTATATCCATCTTTCGCGGTCTCACAACTACTATCCTCTCAACATCCGTCTTGAACGAATACATTCCTTGACACTCTCCTGTTCTTCCCAAATCACAGAACCCATTGACTTCATTCACCGACGAGGACTGTAAGATCTTCAGTCCAAACAACCCCGAAGTATTCCTTGCAAAAGCAATGAGCCGGTTCTCCATCAGAGCCATCCCTTCGATCTTTAAATCCTCATCCGGAAAACTCGCCGGGGACGTGTCAAACGTTTTTCGCATTTCGGTGTTAAAGCTTGGCGACACACCAACGTTGATTCTAATCTTCCCCCAGCTGATCACAAATTTGTTGTCTTGGCATGGAACAACACAGCAAATGGCGTCTTTCTCAATTTCGACATCTTTAAAGCAAATCGGGTCTTGGAAGTCCTTTGTTTTTGCGTTGAAGTCGTACAAAAAGATTTTGGCTTCCTTATATTTGTCGCCTACAAGCACTCCAGCAACGGCACAGATGACATTCCCCACCCACATGATTTTCGACAGACGGTTGCAGTTCTTGCACACTAAATTCGTCGTAGCACCGAAGATCCCATATCCACTCTTGTCGACTATTCGAACCGTTGGCGCGTTATTCCCCGACATCACACCATAGCTGAACGTCTTTTTATTCCTCGTCCCGTTCAAGTCGACAGCAAACGCCACAAGCCGTTCACTCGACTTCGCCTCCTCTTCTACTTGAATCGATTTGAAATCGTTAAATATCCTCACTACTTGGCGACTTTCATGCGCAGCATAAAATGTGTTAGAGTCGTACCCCAACCCTATGATCGGTTCTTTTGAAAAGAGTTGTTTATCCGCCTTAAAGTCGTTCGTCTTCGGACTAAACAAAAAGACTCGACCAAGTGATGTGCCAAGTAATGTCCCTTGTGGCGTCTGAAGTGAGGCCGTCACCTTCTCCTCAGGGTTAAAATATGCCTCCAAACGGTTATCAAAAGGTTCAGTCAAGATGCTCCCAAAATCCATTGTTGACATATTTTCAAGATGGATCTCATATTCCTTTGCTTCTTTGCTAAGTGTTAGTAAACTATAGTTTATGAATAGTTCATTGTTAATAGACAACAACCCCCGTCACGGATTGACGGTATAATAGAAGAGAAGTAATAGTAATAGTAAAATAAACTAAATCAATTAAATGAAATAAACTTCTCCAATTCGACGAGGAGGTTCAGTGCATATGACCGCACAGAAACATTACCGAGAGAGAAGAACGAGACTGCAGTCTTGTAGATAGCCATTTTATTAATTTGAAGTAAATTGAGAGTGACAAGGGTTTGAAGAGTTGCAAGGAATACTGTGGTTTGGTGTATTTTATATTTTGGGGTGTTTTCGGAATCTATGACACTTTGAAGACAATGGAGGTCTTCAGTCAACTTTTGGACAAAAATAGTTTGTGTATACTTTGATATCTCACTTTCGCTCTGAATGACTTCTAAGACACTTTTTATTAAAAACTCAATGAGGTCGTCTTCATATCCTTCGAAATGTATGAGAGATATGATGTGTCGAACCACCTGAATATTCTCATCGTTCTCCCCAGTCTTTTCAATAACTTTAAGTATTTTTGTGACACTTTCTGGATAGATTTGATAGTACACTTCATTGAGTTTCGCAAGGTCTTCTACTTGATAAACCGTCTTGACTAATCGACTCCAACCCTTTGTTGTAACTCCACCCAATTGCGTGATAAGAGATAATACATTTCCCATTGTTGATTTGTACTTCTCTGTCATGATCTTAGACAACTGTATAAGTACTCCTCGTGCACTTTGAAGACTATTGGCGATGTCTTCAATTAACTCAGAGCCTTTGTCCAACACACTTTGAATTTTCAAGTTATTATCAATCCGTTGAATACACTCGCACAAACAGATATTTAAACAAACAAATGCTCTCTCTGAATGGCACTCTTCAAAGTACTTTACCATCAACTCCATCATTTTACAGAACCATTTGATATAATTCGTTTCACTGTTTTTGTACGATTCAGTCATTTCGATGATACCAAATACACTGTTTTGACAGGAACACATCCCATTCTCGTCAACAACAAAATCATCGGGGAAGACACAGACATATTTAATAAGAGATCCCACAATGATATAAGAGATCTCCTCTTTCATTATTGTTTGTGTGGTTGAGAGAAAGTATGTGCAAATCGTCGTGTTGATTCCGTTGTTATCAGCAATATACTTTCCCACCTCCAAATAACACTGTAACACTTTGTAGTAAATGTCATTGTCAACTTCCGCGTATTTCAGTAATGAAAATACATACTTCAAACCAACCTCACACGTGTTCATAGATGCTCTATAAAACCCCAAGTCGGTCACTTTAATGAATTTGCCAAATACAATTGGAAGTTTGTCGACTACAAAAGGTAGTAAGAACTTCAGTATTCTGGTCAAGCCGCCAAGCAATACGCAAACAGACTCGTTCCACTGTCTAGTCTCCGCAGGGGTGTATAAAAGTACTTTACTCCGTTCTTCTGGTATCTTCACCTTCACAATTTTCTCAAAGATTTTGTCCATCTCGTCGAACGTCGGAAATATCACTGTTTCGAGTAATGGAACTACACACAGTGAAAGTCGCTCTTCTTCGCATGCAAGAGCTTGAACAAGGGTTTGTAATGAACAGTTCCAAATATCAAATCTTTCATCTTTTAAGCATAAGAACAGTTGTCTGAAGATCGCAACAGAGTACTTGACATCTTCTTTCGCTTCTTTAATCAGTAGCAACAAGTCTGAAAGCAACTGAATTGCGCTTAAAGAGACGTTGATATCGTATTCCTGTTTAGTGTATCGTTTAATAAGTTCCAAAGGAAATGTGTTGATAGGCAATTGGACGGCAATTTGTCGTAATATATTAAAACTCTTCCCAACTACACTCGAATTGGACTCTGCAAAGAACTCGAAAATTGGGACCAAAACGTCCATATACTGACTCAGTGGTCCAGTGTACTCCGTTAATGGAGACACAGTAGCCATTAATGGGGCATAGAGATTTACAAGTCCCTTTCGCTCTCTCAGAATAGTCAACACAAAACTCAATGTGGTTCTAACGTTATACTCTTCGGCTTGTGTATCTTCAATTCCATTCGTAAGACTGATCACTTCCGCAAACACACTTAAAATTTCATTACTGATTTTCCCTCCCTCTAACACACCTTTCACTAATGTGGTTTTCGACACTTCAAAGATGGCACTCATTCGCAAAAAGTTAAGCTTGAGTATGAGTAGAAGTTCACTATAATACTCAAAAGTGGTGACATATGGTATCAAGTTCTGTACTAACGATAACAACGTCTTGTCTCCAAATTCCACTGATATACTCGAGACACTCTTATAATGGTCTTTAGACACTAATTTCCAGATGGTCTTCCACTCGCCTCTAAAAGACTCCCCGAGGTCTATCACAGACTTCACTATACCATCCCACCCCCCTGGTATCTTCTCGTAATTATCAATGACACTTGACATATCAATTCCACTTTTCGCCATCACTCGGAGCATCTTTTTATAGCAATCCAAAGTGTTTGGTGTATTTTCGAACCCCAACAATATCTCTACCGCACTTTCAACAGTCTTTTTGTCGATCTGTAAGTTGCTAGTTAAGAACGCAGAGACCAACAAGTAAAAGCAGAAGAATGACATTTCTCCAATATTCCTTGGCGTTGTGATATTCTCCAAAGACACCGGCTGCCCTATTTTTGCAGCATTTTGTAAGAAGCACAGCACAATTGGAGTGAAGTGTGGATGTAGCACAAACGCCGGATTATTAGTGAAGAATTGTAAAAAGAGTGCGACAGTATATTCGTTGACATTCTTAAGTAATTGGGTGATATAAAACGGATACCCTGGAAATGTTGAGTAGAGCTTCATTAATGTGATATGATAGTTTAAAGTTGTTTCTGCTATCTGTGGTATCTTTGGAATGACTATTTGGAGGATAATCTGATAGAACGACTTGACTTGGTAAAACACGTTTCCACAGCTTTGTAAAATTGGTTCCAATATTTCATAGACGTGGACTCTTACACTACTGAACTGAGGGGAGATCGAAATTTCATTGATATATTTAGACAATGCCACAACTAATGGGTTAGTAGGTTCTGTCAAAATCTCATCCAAATAGTTCTTATTGAAATCCGTCATTCTAACAGCGTCAGTGTGATGAACGACATTCTGCGACAATTTAGGTGGGTGTTGTGGCAACAACAAAGATGTTGCAGATGCTATATGTGTTATCACTGAAATGACGGTTGACAGTAACAACGGCGTTGTAGCCGCAAACGTGATCGTTGCCATTCCAAGGTAAATGACATTACCAGGCAATGAAGGTAACAATGGTGTTGTGAGTGTTGTTGAGATGATTTGGATGATTTTTGTATTAATGTTTTCCGTCGAAATGACAGACAAGAGTTTGTTGTAGACCATTTCATACATCGTCTGTCTGTCAGTTTAATTTCTGTAAGTGTTATTGTACTACCAACAAACTAAAGAAATCATTTCCTGAATAGTTAACATGTGAAGGACTTGAAGGATTGAATTGTCCAATTGGGAGTTAATATGTAAAAGATCCACCAGCGGTTCAACAAAGACTTGTTGTGACCTTAAAATCGTTTCTTTTGGAGAAGTGGAAGCAGACAACTTATTAATCGCCATCGTCAAAAATTCTTTCTCTTTTTCGTGTTGTCCATATCTTCTCACTTCCTTTAATATTCCTTGGAATTCAGAGACGAGCGGAGAGCCTACTTTGCTCATTTCTGTTCTTTTTTTTCTAGTTCTTTTTAGAATAGTTATAATAATATAAAGTCTGTCAATAACATTTTTTAGAACCAAATAAAATGTTTTTTATTTCATTTTGGATACAAAATAGTTAAAATCTTTTCTATATTTTTATAACCATTAGTGTTCAAATTTACTAGTAGTATACTTTAATTAAATTATATGTAAACTATTGGATATATTTAATTATATCAAATAATACAATTGCTAAGTATAGTTTTATCAATTATTGTACATCCTAAAAATAGAAACAATACTATTAATTATAGAATTATCCACGTCATTTTTTATTTATATAATACCATTTATAACTATTGTGAAATTATATTGAACTATAATAAGATAAATCAAATAACAACATACTTACTCAACCTTAAGTACTCTCTTCTTCTTTCCCGCAGACGAAAGCGAAGAAACGGATTGGAGGTTTGAAGCGTTCTCGCTATTGGAGAACCCAGCACTACTTTTTGAGTATGAGTCACCACTTCGAGACTCGGAGGTCATACCGAACATCTTCAGGGCAACTGCGTCGAGCATCGTGTAACTGTCCATATATGTCACGTCGAGTACGGGTTCTTGTTCTGTTGCGCATTTTACCATAATGTCAAAGAGTTCAAAAATGTACTCGTTGTCCTTAATCAAATCTCTCTTCTTCATTACAATTCTAACAAACTCGGACTTTAACTCGGATCGAGTAGCAAAGAACATTGTAAATTGTATCAAAATATCCTTAAAGACAGGAGACGTCTCTGGGAGTACACACTCATTAAAGAATACATCGACGATGGTAACAAAGTTGGCTGTGACAAGTGGGGCAAGACAATCCAAGACCTTCTTCAGTAACGTAGAAATGGTGATCGTCTTCAAATCGACCTCCATCAATTCTCTGGCGTAATTTAAATAATCTTTCAACTTCACTTCTTTCAGTTTCTCTGTGTTTTGAATCAAAATTTTCAGTAGCTTCTTTGGTGTATCCCAGTCGTCTTGTGTCCTCAATTTCAGATTCGTAATTTTGTCGCAGAACCAACAAGTGAACGCGATGATCCCAATCGGTACAACCAGTTCTTGTTTCCTTGGGAAGTGCAAGAAGAACATTTCTGGCTTTGATAATAGCTTAGCAAATATTTCAGCGGAGACGTCCTTACAGTCGTTGTCTGTTAATCCTCTCATCGCCATTACAAGAAATCCTTTAAAGACAGTTATGTTGTTGTTTGTAATATCTTTCAATGCAGTCAAGTAATCCTCAGGGCGAACTTTATCCCATATTTCCGGTGAGATGGAGAAGTTAAGCATTCGTATTGCACGACGATAGACACCAATTGGAATGTCTAATGACACCATGAAACAGTTGACAACCCACATCACCTTTAACATCAAGTGAACGTCTGGAGCATATCGCAAGAACATGTCTGATATCTCCATAATTTTCGCACAGTAATCTGCAATAACGTTTTTGTATTGGAGAGTCATAACAACGTCGTCGTTGTCTGCCAAAGCGTTCTTAAGCTTTAATAATGTAAACACAAATTGATCTGCCTCGATTTCATTGCGCCCAACATTGAATATACGCACAAAGAATTCACAACAATTCAATGAGGCTCCAACGTTGGCGGCACTAGGGTTACCAGAGCATGCCCAATTCGCTAATTCCTTTTTGAAGTATGAGATGAGCTTGGGTTTCTTTTGTAAGCCCAACAATGTCACCAAATTTATAATAATTTGAATCAATATTTCTCTGTTAAGTACTCGATCGATCTCTAAACCAGAAATTAAAGTGTAAAACCTCTGACCACACTTCGCCATAGTCGCATCTTTGTCCGATGAAAATGCATCATAAAAATTGTAACACAACTTCCTCACAAAGTTGTAAAAGATTTCAACTTCATTTCTATCTTGTGATGCATAACACAACAACAACGAGAACAACACCACATAATGAATACCAGACTCATCCTCAAATAACGTCTCTCCAAAAAAGTCGTTCAACACATTCATCGCTATATACTGCGCTTTGTATTTATCTTTATACGACCCTCTCGACATCATCATATTTGCAGAATACTCAAACGACATCGTTTGTGCAAGTTTTAAGAACGTCGAAGTCGTGTTGACCTTCATCAATGCCTGGAACACAATCAAAAACGCGTCTCTATTCTTTCCTTTGGGTAATTCACTCTTTAAATAAGTGAATATAACGTTGTAATTCGATTTTTCGTCGTGAATGATATTCTCATTGCCATCTTGCCTTTCGCAGACTTTAGTCCAGAAGGTGATTGCTTGTTCCGAGTTGTGTTTCATAGCCGAAGTGACATCGTACACCAAAATATCAAGAATTTTCGTGTACTCCTTTTCACTGAAATCCTTCGACAATGACACAAATGGCAACCAGTTGATCGAATACGTCACTAACCATCTCTTCTGTAATTCAGTCAGTTTATTACCAGACCCCGCCATAGTACCTTTGTAGAACACAGTCTTCGCATGCGGTTCACAATGTTTGATACACAATTTGACGATTTCAAGAGCAGCTACAAATCTGTTTTGTTCAATAGACGTTGTAATAGCTATTCGGTGTTTGACGACTTCATTGAAGATCTTATAATCAAATTTGTCTGATAGCCCAAACTTGACAGGTAACAACCAAAGCACGACATTGAATGAACACAGACGAATGTCCTCTTCATCGGCCATGAGTGTGATCAAACAATGATGCAACAACGACGCACCAAATTTCTTCAAATTGGCGATAAAAGCCGGATCAACATCACCTTCTACTTCATCCGTTGCTTCAAGTAATTCGATATGTTCAGTGTCCATTTGTTTAACACCACTTCTGATATAATCCGGTGCACAGACTTTTGCATACACGTCTGAAATGGCTTTAATGATTACAGTGCTTTGGGTCATATTTTCGATGTCGGGGTTACTCAACGAAAACACAAGGTCCGGGTGGAATCTGACAATCCACTTTAACACACCGCCGTGGTACTTCTCAAGCTCGACTATTCTCTTCGGCTTCATAAAGAACTTTTGTTCGAAAGAAAGTGGTGCCAATGCAAATATCGCACATATCGCTTCGACAGATGATGAACACAAAATGTCTGTAATACCTTCTGTCTTCATTTGGTTGTTGATAAACGTGTTAATCAAGTACTCGCAAATATCGGCGCGTTGTTCCAATGGCCACACCAAAAAGTGAATTGGCATTGAGACGGGTAACACCGAACTAGTTGGTTCTTTCAGTCTTAAAAGTTGTTGCTTTTTGATATTTCGACAGAAGTAAAAGAGTAACAATATGAAGTTCTGTGCAAAGTAAGCTGGGAAGTTCTGTGGAGCGCAATAACTATAATTGTCGTTGGGTGTATAAGAAGGCCAAAGTAGTTTGAGTTGGAGGAAGACTTCATTAATGAAGAAAAGAATACCCAAAATGAAGCGATTAGCAAGTGGAGACTGGAAGAGATGCGAGCAGTCTCTCATCAAACACCCATTGAGCACCAACATTGTTGTCATCATTAATTGTCGTCGTCTTTCAACAGTAGTTTTGTCACTGATGATAAGAGGGAGTGCGTAGACTTTGATTTGTTCAATGAAATAATAAAAGATGTCTATGTTCATACAAGACAACAAGCGAATTAACGACTGTTCATTCACACTTTGATACTCGGTCTTCTCCATCACCTCTTTAATGATGTTTTTAAGTACCAGAGTAGCTTCTTCGCCCAATTTGACAAATTCCGTATTATCATTGGAATATAAGGCTATTTGTTGTTGTTTAGATAACGCATTCGACTTGTTCAATGAGAGTGATGACAAGTATATATTGAGTAACCGGAATCGTGTGACATCATTGATACCTTCCTTGGCCAACTGCTTTCGCGAAATCCTCATAATTCTCTGAATAATAGGTCGTGTTGCTTCACTCTGTCCCAACAAGTCTAAGATGATGGATGTTTGCAAATAATCCAACAACAAGAGGTGTTGGTTGACCACCTGAAGTTGTGTTTGTGATACTGTCGGAAGTGTTTGTCTGATCTCCACCAAAGTGTTTGGCACTTTGACTGTTTGTAAGATGTATAAGTACCTCGAATATTCTTCTATAAACTTCTCGTTTTTGTAAGTTGATTTCCACACGGTGTTATCAAAGTCTTTCAATGAAGTGAAGTACAAATAAGTCAACAATTCAGGTGTTTCAAATCTGACATTTGGGTCAAATCGTTGCTGTAACACGGTAATAATAGCTTCAATGTGTTCCGACAAGTGTTCTGTAAATATGACAGTTGGGGTTGTTTTGTCTTTCTTGCTTTTCTTCTTCTTTTCCTCATCCGCATCAACGTGTTTCGTCGTTTCATTAATTCGTTTGACAGTCCACAGACACATGACGGCGTCCACAAACTCCATCATGTTTTGATATGGGACATCCGTCTCCATCAAATCCACAAAGACTTTCATTAAGTCCCAAATGATGATAGTTCTGAAGTTCTCTGACATGAAAACCATACGCAAGACACTCTCTTGAATTGTTGTAGCTAAATAGTCTGTTTTACTTGTCACAAATGGATAAAACGGGAATGCTCCACTCTTTTGTGTGTATATAATATATTGTTTTGGATCATTTGAAATGTACCGAATCAACTGTACAAAGAGAATCATCTCGTCGGGGATCTTTTCCTTCTGTTTTTCTTCTTTGATTAGTTTTTTCCTCTTCTTTTCAACAACCTTTTCTTTCACTTCTTCCTTCTCCATTCGCATTTCATCCGGAATTTCAGACATAATCGATCTCTTCACTACATTCATGCCAACAGTCAATCCATCGACCGCTACATTATTCCCCCAATTTTCTAAGTTCTTTAATACCTCATTCTCAGTCTGTCGTATTGAAGAAGTTTCTAACGACACTTGTTTACCACTTTGAATCTCACGCCATCTCTTCACTGCTTTAAACATAGTTGCTTTGATGTATGTATCATCCGCACAGTTTGACGCCATAAACTCTTTAATATGTTGTGGAATACTTAATTGTCGAGTCGAAGTTGCTGGAGTATCCAGTGCTTTCACTTTATCATAAACGGAGTTGTACAAATCCAAAAACTTTCTCTTCCCCAGAGATAACACTTTCTTCTTTGCTTTTGCTTCTTTCTCCTCGTCGACATTGACCCACAAGAATTTGTCATTCACAATTAAATGCAATGCATTGTAAAGTACTGCAAGACTCAAATTGTCTTCTTTGTCGTCCAAGAATGAGTCAATGATATGATAGGTGACTGGAAGACTATGCGCCGCACAGAACACCACTTTTCTTGATCGTCTCTCAATCTCTTCCTTTTCAACTTTAACAGGGCAATTCACTACAACGCCCATAATGATCTGAATATACTTCTCCGCGTATTTCAAAAGTGGTCGCATTCGAAACGGTGAGATTCTTTTCTTCGCGGCAATCGGCAAGTTGTAAAATGAGTCGGGCAAATACAAATAGTCGTTTTCAATGACACCTTTACACAACGTTTCAATGTAATTCAAAATGGGTTCCGTTTTCGCGTTGATGTCATTCAATTGATTCATGAACTTTTGAACCGTTTGCGTCTCCCCCAAATTGGTTTTCATGTGGATTATTGCCTCGACCTTCGCCCCATGACACTCCATCTTAAACGACTTGTTAAAGAATGGCGATATCACTCCTTTCACATAATTTAATTCCTTTGCAAAAGAACCTTCGGGGAGCGAAAGCATCAAGTTTTCAAGTAACTCCATGAGCTCTTCCTTAGTCTCAATATGCTTCGCACTCTTCACACTTGCCGCAATAGTTTTTAAAACTCCCTCGACGACTTTATAATCGGCCACTTCGTTCTTCCCAAATTGTAAAAATCGCAAGAGGCGAACACGTGTGTTGAAATTTTCGGTGTTGGGGTCTTTCCAATAGCCAAAGAAATACGCCCAGATGCTTTTGAACTGCTTTTCTTGGCAAAGTAATCGAATCAAAGTACTCCATTGATTGATCATAGTCGAATACGCGACATCAAAATTGGTTTCATTCTTCATCGGATGGACATCGTCTCCAATCGCTTGGAGTCTCTGAACTATTTTATCACATAATTTGTCGGTGAGTTGGTCCGACCATCCATTGTACAAATAAAACGCTAACATGACATCGGCTATGAATATGTTTGCGACTACCGTCTCGTAGTTCATTTCCTGCGCTTTGATTGTCGCAATCTTGATGACTTCACCTAACATGTTCGACGACTTTGCCTCAATGAAAACAATGATTCGCTTTAACGCGTGCGAGTACTCGTCGCTCATGTGAAGAGGAAACGTGTCACTGTCTTTCACGTTGTTTTGTGTGGAAGAACCTTGTTGTGCGGTTGTTGTGACAAGTTGGTGGAGGTCTGTTAATTCCATCGAAAAAAACTCAGTCTGCTTCAAGTCTATTGAAGCCATTTCTATGCTTTGTAGTTACTTATTTAAGTTATAAAAAGAGTCCACTCAACTTGAAATAGTTTCTTATCTTTTGGTCTTGACTTGGTAGTTACAATTCTGTTTTCAATACTATAATTATAATTGTTTTATAATTATTTTTATTATATGAATAATATTTTTGGGAGCTGATGTGTTTTTTGTGAAAACAATTCAAACTATATGTATAATATTTTATATTATAATATATTAATATCGAATTTTAATAATAAAAATAAAATAAAAATAGAAAAAAAGCTATAAAAATGGGTTTAATAGAATTAATGAAAAAATGATGAATAATTGGTGGTATAGTGTGACGGGGATTGTGATCTCAAATAAAAAAACACAACAATAAGGAAAAAAGAAAGCCCGAAAGGATAGTTGGTTAAAAATGATTATCATGGTTTTTATAACTGTTACTACAATTATCATGATAATGACAACAACGGTTAATAAAGCAAAGTCAACAAAAATAACACCCGACGTCATATTGTTGATTTTTAAAAATCAACAAAACGACAATTGGGAGATTGCTATGTGGAACGAAAGAACATTTAAGAGAAAGAAATAACAGAAAAAACAAACGATATGATTGCTTTGATCACACTTATTGTTGTTGCAAACGCAGAGTTGATTGATAATAAAGCTCCTCAACACAAAGAGGAAGTTAAAACAGAAGAAGTACCAAACCAAACACCAATAAAGGAGGAGCTTGAGGTGGACGGACTTAAAAGACTCGAGGAGCTATTGGTACACTTTTTAAATTCGGTTGATTTGTTCGAGGGAAAGGAACTGAGCAAAGAAGAAGAGAAGAAACTGCATGATGGTGTATTTTCAATGAAAGGAGGGTGGCTGTCTGTCTTGGGCGATGTTGAGAAGAAAAAGAAAGTTGACGAAATGATTGGGATTGTCAGTAAACGAATTCGAACGTTTGACGAAAAGAGCCAAGCCAAAGATTTTATTGGAAAGGCTTTATCACATTTTCAACATGGATTCCAGGAGAAACATACAATCAAACATGCGCTTAAAAGAGTAATGAAAGAGTTGAGAGTCGGAGATAAAAACATAGAGAAATTCCCAATTGAGATCGGAGAAAAAGAGTGGGACATTATTAAAAACGTTCAAATCGAGTTTTCACCGGTTTTTGAGGCACTCAATTCACTTGAAGAAAAGTTGATGGAATACCTCCGAAGGAAAGACTTCAAGGATTATGTGTACGATGTTAAAATGATCGACATGGACAGAGGATTCAATTTGTTTGGAAATTTGGGTTCACTGCTCATGGGGATACTTCGTAACTTCACTGATTCTGTGAAGTCTGAAATTGACAGAGAGCGATTTGATGATAAAAAAGAACAAGAAGTTGTTGAGAAAATGGTTGACAGTGCTAAAAATGTAATTAAAACAGCTTCGAGTAAGTTGAAAGAGGGAATTGTTTTTATTAAGGATGTTGTCGTGTTTCAGGTAAAACTTTTTGAAGCTATTCTCGAGAGTATAGACAAAGCCCAACTTAATGAGGAGAAACACCAGTGAGGGATCATTATGTGTTGTTTTTATTTTTTTGTTTTTCAAATCCAAATTATAATTTTTTTAAGGCGTTGCTTTTTTATTAATTTTGCTTAAAATTGTTAAGTTTTAAAAACTTAGCTCAAGTTTTCAAAGTTGCGGTTACTTTTAATTTTAGTCTTAAACTTTTAGTAGCGCTATAATTTGTTTATAAAAACTAAGAAACATGCAAACAGGAAATTGTATACATTATTGTTAAATATATTATTAATTATTAACAAAATCAATAATACACAAATCATTTAAAAACAACTTTGTTATTAATTTTACTAAATTAAACAAGTTAAAACCTTTATATATTTTTGAGTTTGTCACTTTTAAGTAAAAACACTCTTTTGTGAAAAATTTTTGTTAAAAATACTTCTTTTTTTAAACACGCAAAAATAGTTTTATTTTTGTTGAAATTGTTTTTGTTTTTAATTTATAATTATAAATAATGGAAATATATATAATAATATATAATAAATCTAAAAATTGAATATAGGATTATAGTATTTTACTTCAATCGCATTCTGGAAAAAACAAAACAACGATTAAAAAACAATTAAGTTATTATGTATAGTAAATATAATAATAATAAAAAAATGTTTGACAATGAAAAAGTAACGATTTTTTGACAATAAATATTATGAAAAGCATTTTTACCTATTATTAAATTGTTGTATTATATTTATAATACAAGTAAATTATATTTTTAATAAGATAATAATACTATGAAAAAACACTGAATGAACTGAAAAGTTGTTAAATGTCGAAAACCCAAAGAAACGTAAAACCCGTGTTTAATTTGAAGAAGAGTACCATCTCCACATCTGAAGACAGTGAAGAAGAGAACTTCCAGGAGGTGAAATTGGTTTTTTTGGGGGAAGACACAGAACCTATTACAAGTTTAATTGAGACAATTATGTTTCGACTTTCAACAGAAAGATGCGATAGAAATTGTTGGGTTGTTTTTTCCAAAGGTCAAAAAGTTTATTTCAGTTATACGCAATCAGGTTTGTACCACCTTATATATATAAATACTTATTTTAACACAAAACACAAATAGATTTTTTTATGTGATGATAATCGTTTAAAAATATCATTGACAAAACAACATTTAATATAATAGATAACCGGAAGTTGTTTCAAAGTTTAACAACAACATTTTTCAAAAAAACTTCAGCGGTCTACTTGATGTATCTCTTCGATGACCCAACAACAACAAACACATTAGATTTCTGGCAAAAGGAAATCACAAGGTATCTTGACATCGCAACGCCAAGATATCTACTTGGCGTTGGGGAAAAGTTCCAGAAGAGTGTGTATGAGAAAGCAAACGAATTCGCAGCCGAAAGTCTTTTTACACACCAATACATCGAGTTAACTGAACTGAAAAACTGTGTCAATTTTATTAAAGAAATTATCGACGCAAAAGTTCAGCCGTTACCTCAGAAAAATATTACAGACGAAAAAACAACAAACAGTTGTTGTGTTATTCTTTGATTATCATGTCTTGATTTGTTCATTCCACTTCACTATTTCTTACTCATGTGTTTTAGTATTTTTATTGTTTAATTTATTATTATCAACAACCGAAGGCTTATTTCCTTTTGATTTGTTTTAGAAGTCTTTTATTTAAACATTCTTATGAATTAGTCCTTCAAATATATTCATATTTATATTATTATAAATATTAATATAATAAAAATCAGTTTGTTATTGTTTTTACAATTGTGAATTAATTTTGTTAATTTAAACAAATTTATTAAAAATTATAATAAAAAGTAAGTAGTTTTTCAAATTATAATATGAACTATAAATATAACTATACAAATAATATCAAAAACACATGAACGAGTTAGACTCCTTTGAGTGTAAATAGAGTCAAGGCAACGGTGATAGTGTCGACGATGCACATAGCAGTTAATCCAAGCCATGGAGAGACATAAGTAGTGCACAAAGAAGACACCATAAAAAGTGCATGGAGTCCAACAAAGAAGATGCAAAAAATCATTTTCTTTGTTTTTTTCATGAGTAAAATGGCCAACGACATATATGAGGTGATGATATAAATTGAGTAAAACATTCCACTGAATGCGACAACATTGAAGTTACCAATAGTTGTTCCAAGTAGATACAATTCCGCTGGTGTAGTTGCCAATGTCAGAAATGGTACATTATGAACCAACACTTGACACAAAGCAGACCCCACACCAAGGCCTAACCCTAACATCTTGATTTCCCCAAACTTTTTCACAAATAACATCATCACAGCCAACGTGATGAATCGAATGATTTCGCTGAACATGAAGACAAATAACTCGACGACAAAATATTTCTCTTCAAAGGGGAGAAAGATCCAAGACAATGAGATAATGCTCATTGCTATGAGCCATGTTATAGAGCTTCCGGTTACTATTTCTTCTATTACATTTATTGTTTTAAAATACACGGTGTTGTGGTATCAAATACAATAAACAATTGTTTTAATTCTCTTAAAACATTAATAACAATTAATATTGCAACACGTCGTCGTGTGTTATTTGTCTTAAAACAAAAATGTGATGAAACGACAAACCCCGCAATCGCAGTCACCATCATCACGCTGTTCCGAAAGGCAAAATAAATAATGAACGAGACGGGTATCCCACACGCAATGAATATCTCGGCAAGGCAAAACAGCATTGGTTTTTTTAGTTTCTTTGTTTTTTGAGACCATCACAAAACAAAGAAAAAAATCCAATGACTTCGACTCAATTCTTCGGGAATTACAAAGAAAAAGTAAGACGTAGACATATTCTATAACAATAGTAAAATATACTATAAATATGTTGATTATAAGAATCAGTCGATTATGAATGAACGAAAGTGAATGTGACGATCCACATCAGTAAGAATGCCGAGAGAGCAGCTCCAAGTCCTTCATTGAAAGCATCTCCATAAGTGACTTCTCGCTCCAATTCGTCCAAATGATAGTACAAAACAAATAACACACTTATAAGACCGGTTGTCCCAAAGAAGATGGCAAAGCCTAACCATCCTTGAACTCCTATAACTCCTATAGTAATACCTATAATGAGAGATAGTATTGTTTTAGTACTAAAAATTGCTTTGCATACAGTTTTCTATATGTTAGATTGTCCATGAGTGATTTAAGGACAAACCTTTGTCCACTCGTAGTCACGGTCTAATATATTCATCACTTCAAAAATTTCAAGTTTGACTTCCTTTTTTATTAAAAACCCTTGTTCTTTGTTAATACACCAATTTTTGAAAACAGTTCATTTTTTATGGTATTCCAATCTTTTTTATTTGAAAAAAGGTAATATGGTGAACTATTTACCAATTCTGGCACTATACAGATGGTACTATATTGTTGTAATAAAAGAATTATAAATGAAACTAGAATTGTATTTACGACGAACTTGGAAAAGAATAAAAACAATGTCGAAGCACACAAATAATGACTGCCTCCGACTTGTTGAACAAATGAAAGACCAATACGAAAAGATCTCCCAAGCGAATAAAGCTTTTAGTGAAGGAGAAGTAGTTGAAAGTTTACGTAACCAAGTGGAAGGGTTAATGCGTGTCGTTGATGTGTTAGAAAAACAAAAAGGGGAGGGGGCTTCCAGTGGGAATAGTTCGACTATTAGTTTATTAAAACAAAACAAAATGTTATTGGACGAGAATGAGGAATTGAAGAATAAGATGAAAGAACAGCAATTTAGTTCTGGTGACTTTCTTCGCCTTCAAAAAGAATTAGAAGAAACAACTAATGATTATAATAACGCAATAGAAGAAATAGAAGAACTCGAAGAGAAAAACAAAGCATTAACTCTTCAAGTTAATACTCTTCAAGCATATCAGAAAAAACAAAACGAATCTTTGGAACAAACGGATGAGATTGAAATGATGAAAAGAACGTTGACTTTGGTATCAAAAAATTACTCCCTTTTTCTTAACAAAACAGCAAAAAATATAAACACCACAGAAATTTTCGTCGACCAAAAAGTACCACAAAATACTTCTTTGATCCAAAATTATAAAAAAATGGCATCAGCTTTTACCACTTGGGCAAATCTGCCATTCAACACAAATAACACTTTCTCTATGATCCCACGCACTCTGCCCCAAATCAATCTCACTAAAACTCAACAAGAAAATGGATTTTTGTGCTCGTTAATTTTGAGACACCCACTCCCTGTTCTAGTCGCGGTATACAACTCACACCAATTCCAAGTTTCTATCCCTTTGTTCTATTGCTTCGCGGAGGAAACGACACAATTGTGGCTACCTCTCGGTAACTACCTGTTCGCAACATTTTCCAGTACAGGGGCGATGCTTGCTAAATCGGAAATAGAGCTCGTTAATCAATAATTTGTGTTTTTGTAACAAATTGTTTTTTTTTATGTTTTTTAAAGCCAAGTATTTAAAATTATGGCTTTAATAATAGTTTATTTTAGTTTTAAAATTAAAATTTTTATAGCTTTTTATAACCATTAAAATGGTTATTGTAATCATAATAATTTGTTATTTATAAATAGTTAAATTGTAAAACTTGTAAAACACTTGTTTTAATCATTTAAAATAGTATTATATTTTATTATTATTTTTATATAATTGTATTATATACAAATATTACTATGAATATAGTAAATAATTACTAAAAAATAAATATAATAATTTATTAGAATAAAAAAAGAAAGAACTCAATTATTAATTTGAGTTCATTCTTCGAAACAGTTTGTTCGTCTAAACCCCAAAACGAAACTGTAAACGTTTGACAAATAGTGGAAATTACAGAAGACCAACTCACAAATATGCTTCGTTTATTGACGGTGGTTGCATTAATTATCATAGTTGTATACCACATGATTCCACAAAACGAAAAGCCAAAAACTGCATAATTTTACTTTTTTTAATTGTGTTATGAGTGTTTTACCAATTTACTAAAATCAAATTATTTTAAGAAACTAATCAATTAAACAATAAAATATTATCACAAAATTATATATAAACTAAACTAATAACAAAGAAAAAATAATCAAATCACCACCTCATTCGTTTTATCCAATTCTCTGATTGACAATGGGTCAAGGTCGGTCAGAGTCTCAATGGTGTTCTGAGCTCCTACATCACTGTAATACGAAAATACAAATTTTGTGATATCAAAATAGTACAAGAGTGCTGTGAGTAAGCACAGAACGATCGCTGCAATGTCCATCATTTGGCTTGTCAACGAGATGGCGACGTGGCAAAACACTGAGACAAGTGTCATTCCGACAAACACAATTTTGAGAACTTGGAGAGGAGATTGGAGAAATGACAAAGTGAAAGGACAGATTTTGATGAGATAAAAATACGAAATCACGTGTGTGCAGAAAGAGAGGATTGATAAGAGGTGGAAAACCTCGTGAGCAACAAGCACTGGAATGCAGATCTCTAAAATAAGAAATCCTGTCACAAGGTATAACGAGATCGTTGATATCCGCACGGGTAGCACGACGTTGTCAACCACTGCGACAAAGTGCGGGAGAAACTTTGAGTGTATGAGATAACAGAAGACCGAACTTGCGATTGCAACACACGCAATGCCAAAGTAACACGATATACTCGCAAAAGTGACGGTACTCAATATCACAGAGTACTTTTGATACGCCACTTTGTTCAAAACTGGAAGATAGGAAAAGACCCCAAAAATTGCGATTGTCAAAATGAGTAAATACGGCGACTGTTTCACAATTTTCTCGAAATCCATTGCATTTTCTAGATGGAAAAAGAAAACAAATTTTAAAAAATAGTATCTAAAATGTTATTACATATCAATTATGACATTTTTCATCTCTTCTTCATGCTTGAGCTCTTTACGATGACGGCGCTGAACTTTAATCAACTGCTTCAGCCATAAAGCTTTCTCTTTATTGGCGGTCTCCTTCTCAACTTTCTTCAATTGCTTCATCTTAGCTTTCTCCTCTTTGACTTGTTGTCGAGCTTTCTTTTTTTCAGTCTTCAAACGCTCGAGACGTTCTTTGTCTCGCTTTGTTAACATTTTTTTATGTTTTTTATACTCAAGAAGTTTCTCTCGCTCAAGTTGTTTCTTGGTTTTAATTTGCTCGATTTGGACGATGTTGTTTTTCATTCGTTCATTCTTTGCTAATTTCCGCGCACGGAGTTTTTGCTTCTTGTTTTTCACTTCCGCTTTTTTCTTGTCGATCACTTTACTCTTTTTTGTTTGCTGAGGTTTTTTCAGAATTGTAACGTTGGTGTCTGTTGTTGCGTTTGTTTTGTTCGTTTGTTCGGTTTTTGTCACATTTGTAACATTGTCTTTTGTTGAGTTAATTTGTTTCACATTTGTTAAGTTCTCCACTTTTTTATGTGTATGTTTTACACGCTTTTCGCTCCGTTTTGACGTGTTATTTTCAAGACGTGTTGTATTGTCTGTTTGTGCTTTGTGGTGTTTTACTCGTTTAGGCGCTTTTCTCACTTCAATTCCTTTTCTTAAATCAGACACGTTCTTATTTAATTCGGTTGTATTGCACATAGATCCATTTTGGCATTCTCCTGCCAAAACAAGTGTTACAGTGAAGCACAACACGCTCAACATGTTTAATTGTTATGGCTCTTCGTATTTAAAGTTCTTTTATTTTAAATAAAATTTTAATTAACATATTATAATTTAAATATAAATAATTATTGAATATGTTTTTCAGTGCTACAATGATGATTGAACTTCCATTAAACTTGAGTCAAAAAATAGGGTTTTTTTGATATTCACATTTTTCGAAAAAATGTCTCACGAAACATAAATATTTTAGTCAACAAAGTCCTCAATGAGGAGTTTTTATGCTTGATTTTTTTTTCCAAAATAATTAAAAACTAATTTACAAAATCAAAGGATAGTGGGATGGATAATGACAAGTCAAAGTCGCCACCTCGTTATAAAACGCGGGTTTCGAACAGAAATAGCAAACCTTACAAACCACAAGCACACACACCCCCAGTCAAAAAGAAATTATTGCTCAACAAGCCCAAATCGCTGGCTGAAATGACAGAAAACCAACCAAAATCGGAACCGTTGAGGACTATTGATGTCGGGAGTTTTGTGTTAGCAAGAGGGGTTGAAACGAAAAAATTTGAAGAAGAGATCAAAAGATTCACCGGCAACAAAACAGTGCCACAGTCAGTCCCAAGACATTTAAGACGACGACAAGCTTCACACAATTCTTACGTCCTCCCACATCGACTTATAAAGGCCGCAATTGCTGAAAGAGCTAGAAATGAAGTTCTCAAAGGAGATAAGACTGCGGCACAACAAATGCAGAAGAAACAACGAAGAACAAGAAGATCTTTGAGACGCAACTTTAAGACGTTTTCATGGGGAAAAAGCGAGTTCTTGATGACGCACGTGTGGCACGCGAAGCGGTCTGTGATGACCAAAATATGTGGAGTACGTGTTGCTCTTCGAAGGAATGAGAAGTGCAAGAGAATAGTATTTGCGCGCGAGAGTCGTGCGATGATCAGCGATGAGAGCTTCTTTATTTCCTTTGTTTTTACAACTTCAGAAGAATGCAAAGCCAAATTAGAAGCCATTTTTATGAAGACGGAGACAGAGAAGAATGTTTTTCAGAAGTACGAGAGTCGTGTGTGGGTTGGTGTTTCCAATGAATTTGGTCCATTGAAACTGATACTTGGGACTTCACATATTCTCATCATTGCACATCCAATAGTAAAGGATGACATCGAATTAACACTTAAAAATAATGGAATTCAATATGAAATTAAACGTCTTGGGTTAGTTAAAGTTGTTGGGAAGGAGAGTGTCAAGTTATTGAATCGTTCACTTGAACTTGTGAAAAACAAGAATTTGATCGATAGACTGTCCCTTTTACCTTCTGAAAACATCCCAGAAAAGAGTGTTATTGTTTTAACTGGTAAAATGAAAGACACTTTCAATCCCCTCTCACTCTATTCATTTCCTCTTCAATCGAAAAACACTTCTCGACAGGACAAAACGACCTTTCAACAACTGAAAACACACAAAGAGCTCTTTTCCCTCGAAACTCCCGAAGAAGTGAACGACACAATCGAGAAACTTATTACACAAAGCGACATCACTGGTTTCAAAGAGTTTAAAGACTTCAAACCCGCAACACTTAAAGACGACTTTCCTCTTCTTTTACTTGGGAATAAAGTGAATTGTACAGATGGGAGTAAATTTGGTTCGGGATGTTATTTGGTAGTCCCATATCCACTCATGTTGCCAATATGGAGAAGACTGGTATGGCACGGCGGGTACTCCATCGAAATCGAAGAGCAAAGTTACTTGACGTACGAAGCGGGCAATTTAGTCTTCCCCGACGACTTTGTGTGGACCAAATATGGACAAGAATCAGCCAAAGCCGACTCTATCAAGTTTGAAGAAATTCAGAAGAAGCGCCCGAATGGGAAGAAATTTATGACAGAGAAGTTTAAATTAGATGGTGAAAGTGCGATGGATTTGAAGTGGGATGGTCTGACTGAGATCCGACGAGCAATGTTTTTGAAAGAAGAACAGAAGATCTTTGATGGATTTGATCCCACTCAAAAGATCTGCAAATTTGAAATCAGTGGAATTCACGGAAGACCAGAAAAGTATTGTGTTATAGACTTACCTTCTGACGAGGAATTGAAGGAGTTTGAAACGGAAATAGTTGTCAAGCGTAAGCCACAATATCACAAAGGTGTTGGAAGAGTCATTAGAGGTGGATACTCCCTTGGAAGAGGATGTGGCTATGGAATTGGGTTTGTCTATATGGAGGAGTTGGTGAAGAGGGTAAATGAGAACAAAAAACTGATTCTTGAAAACGGAAGTGTGTTGGTCACATTTAGAAACGTTTTTTCTGAGAATTTGAGACTTGGAGTCCTTACGTTATTGCCTTGAATTTATTGATTTTTGTCAAACTATTTACGCTTTAATTGAACATATCAATTATTTTCTATTTTATAATAAATTAACGAATTATAATATATTGGACTATGAGTAGTTAATTAGACATTTTTATAAAAATTAACGAGGTATTTTTTATGCCTTTTATTAATTAATATAATCGCTAATTAAATACAATACGTTAAATATTTTTAAAGTGACTTATTTATTGATAATAAGGTAATAATTCTATTTATTTATAGAAACTTAATTATGAGGAATTTATATTAATTAAAATGTCTCTGTTTATTAAATATATTTTTTTTAAAAATAGCAGTAACAAACAAAATCTATCAAAAAACTAGCTTGTATTTAAAAAGAACAAGAAAACTAAAAAGATGGAAATTGAAAGATGGAACAACGGGTTTGAATGCAAAAAAGAAATGGAAGATGGACTGTGCTTTCCAAATACTATAACCGAAATGTCTAGATGTCTGAATAAGATTTGTTTACAACCAGGTTCTTTGAGTTTGATATATGGGTCTATTGAAAGACGATTTGGATTTTATCTCCAAATTATGCAAAACAAAACATTTATTACAGAGAAATTGAACCTTTTTTATCCAACAGAATTAGAACATCCAAATACCCAATTTGGTGATATTTTTGATGAAAAAGAAAGAGACTTGGAGTTTATATCATTCGCATTCTTTCGTATAATAATGACGTCTGATGATATTAATATGAAGTTCCCAAATGCACACCTCCTTTTTGTCGCATTGGAAACCCTTTTGTTTGCAAAGAAAGTTGAACGTTTGAAAACGACGAATTGGCCAATTACATTTCTGAGTCAAATTGGATTATCAAAAGGTGTTTATAAGAATGTAGTGTATAACACAATACCATTTGCAGTATGTCTCCCCTTGATGAGACTTGAAGGCGTCAAATTGTATGACGGGTTGTTGTATTTCAAAGATGATTACATTCAGTTTGCATGTAATGCGGCGTTCTATTTGAATCTTCAACGAGACCAAGAAGCTTCTATGCCAAAAATACTTGAACCACTTGTAAAACAAATTGAAGCGTTCTTACCAAAAGTTACTGATGTCAATCCATATAACACAAATCAAGTGATGGGAACGTTTGACGAGATGGTATTGGAGAACAACCTTCAAGTGCTTCCACCGTGTATTTACAAAATTATCCGACACATGAAAATACAAGACAATATTATGTTTGACGCAAGACACCAAATGGGAGTCTTCTTTTATCATACAGGGCTACCATTGTCGTGTTGGATCAGGTTTTTATATAGCCACCCGGCAATGGTTGAAAAGATCAAGAAAGAGTCAGCTATCGAATATTATTTCAGATATTGTTATGGGACAAAAGGGATGAAAATAATCGAGCCAGCGTGGTCGTGTTGTCAAACTATGCAGGTCCAATCACAAATGAACCATTATCACGGATGCCCATTTGACTTAGAAAAGCATAGTGGGTGGCAACTGAAAGTAGAACTCAGAGCTTACTTGAATGAATGGAAGAAAGTAAAGGAATTTGATGTTGAATCGTTACTCGATGAGATTTATACATTGGCTGTGAATGGACAAAGGCAAAAAATTTGTGGAAGGCTTTGTGAGTGGGCAACTGGTGACCACGTGAAGATCATTGCACCGAATCAATTCACACAAACTATACTCGAACAACACAATTAAAATGGTGAACTTATTCGAAACGTTAAATAATAATATCTTTTTTTGTATTTATAGAATATGAATGTATGATAAGAATTTAAAAAAAAATACGACTTGATTAATTTAAATTTAATTTAAAATATTAATACAAAAGTAATACTATAATTTAATATTTTTAAACTAGTTCAAGTAGTTTCATAAATAAATTCACTATTTAGTATTGATTTCTTATCTATATTTAACACTTTGATTTTTAACTTCAAAATCGGATTGAATGATTTATTGTTATTAGAAACAATGCTAGATTTAACTAATAAATACAACGAAACTAACAACACACATTTAAATTCAAAAAGAGAACAATAATAATCATATAATTCTTTTAACGTAATTATTAATTATTAAGTATAGTAAAATTGATTCTTATTAAATTTTTGGGAACTGTTGAGACAACATAGTGTTGTGATTCTTATTCAATAACAAGTTCTTGTACTTTTTTTTTCATAAATCTTAATTATTAGTTTTCGCACTGTCTCAACCATAAATTAATAGTATATAATAGTTTTAATATACTAGCTACAATTGTTTTTTAACTGAACTTTTTTACTGACCGTTTTCCTTCTTCATTCCATGAAAACACGAAAAACACTTGTGATGTACTTCGAATAGTACTTTTATAGTAAATATTAATTAAAAGAGACAAAGAGACAGTGGGTACCTATAAAATGAACTGTTGAACTTGATTGTCATCGTCGATGCTCAACATTGAATTGAAAGTCATTGAAGGACGAAGCTTAAAAGGTGCTGATTTTGGCGGGTTATCATCCGACCCGTATTGTAAAATCATAACCAGTCAGTGCACACAACAAACACAAACATGTAACATGACTCGTAACCCACAATGGAACAGATCATTTAATATGCAAGTAACACCTGGCGAAGACATTCGTTTTGAATGCTATGATTATGATCGTTTCGGGAAGAATGACAGTCTTGGAAAAACACATTACCGTGTCGTACAAGGATTCCCAGGTCAAGTGATCGACACTTGGCTTGGTCTCGATAAAAAAGGAGAAATCCATATCCAAATCATTCACAAAGGAGGCGTACCAGGTATGTGTGGTGCACCCCACATGGCGCCAGGTATGGCTCCGGGTATGTGTCAACCACCTATGGCCCCTATGGGTGCTTATCCTCCACCAATGGGCGCTTATCCTCCTCCCATGGGAGCTTATCCACCACCTATGGGTGCCTACCCACCACCAATGGGGGCATACCCACCTCCTATGGGTGGATATCCACCAATGTATCCACCACCTGGACCAGGTGGATATCCAATGGGATATTACTAAAAAGGTAATTTTATAGTTGTTCTCCATTCTTATGGTTTCCGAATTGAATATTTTTAATCGTTTCTTAATTGGTTAAAGAAAATTATCAATAACAATTATTAAAATCCAATCAAAGGCGTCTTTGTCTTGAATGAGTTAATTTTAAAGACAGTTTTTTTTAATATTGAAATTTATTTTTTATTAAAAATTTGGGTTTGAAGTCGACAAAAGTCACAGATTTGAAAACAAAATATTTAATTGTCGTACACATAAATGATTGGGTGTACGACAGTTGTGCGACAAATAAGTAAGTCCGACAATTGTATTTACAACAATTAGACGCCTTTGACTGTACTATTATTATAATTAATAATTGTTCTAATATCACATCTTATATATTTACTATTTTAATAAATATATAAGATGTAATATATTTAAATAATACATTATTGTTAATTATTATTAATTCAAGTTTCTTATTGATTCACATTTTCTGCCGAACATCGGGAAATTGTTATAGTAAAAAGAATTAAAATATATAGTAAAGAAAACTGGAAACAGAACCCTGAGTTCTTGCAGACATGTCGATCAAGTTTGTTACAACACCTTTTTTCAGAAGCAGAAAGCGGAAACGATATTGACGATTAGGACCCAGGTGTGCTCATTCAGTGGTTTCAAAATCCCAATTGGAAAGGGCAGAAAGTTTGTGAGAGAGGACATGAAAGTCTTCACATTCATCACAAAAAAGTCCGAGTCTGCGTTTTTGAGAAAGACCAACCCACGTAAAGTTTTCTGGACCGCAATTTACAGACAACTTAACAAAAAGGGTCTCCAACAAGAAGTTGTCGGCAAGAAGAAGGCAAAGAGAGTGATCAAGGTGATCAGAGGATACCACGGAATTTCTGCCGAAGAAATCGCAAAGAGAAAGCAGACATACACTCCAGAACAACTCGCTAAGAAGAGACAAGAAGCCATCGCGAAAATTAAGGAGATCAAGGCAACCAATGCTGCTAAGAAGGAAGCTGCTAAGAAAGAAGCAAAGAAAGAGGGAAAGAAAGAAACACACCCAAAAGCAAAGACCGCTTCAAAGCAACCAAAGGCTGGTAAGACTAACTTCAATTCCAGGTAAGTTAATTGACTAAATCGTTGGGTCTTGATATATATGTTGGTGCAACACATCTCTAATAGAACAAAACTGTTTACTATTATATAGTTTATTTAAACTATTATATTAGTTTGTATAATTTTGTATAGTTTATAGTACTATAAATTTACAAGTACATTAATTAAAATTTTTAATTTAAAAATAAAGAGAGTTATTTATTAATAATTTAATAATTTATTTTACTATACAAAAGTCTTTTAAAAAAATGCAAAACAATGTTTTATAAAATCTGTTTTCTATTTAACGATATTGGGTTTTTACTATTATTTATAATAACAGTATTATAATTTATAATAAAAATAAAGTTGTTTTTCAAAAAAATGGTTTGTATTTTATTTTTTTGTTCTTTTTTAGAAATATGTGTTAAAAATAACAAAAAACAAAATGGCTAAACAACTGAAAAATTTATAAAGCCAAAACGAATTATAAGTTGGCGTTGAAATGTGAATATGACGAAATAAACCACGTCAACCAGGTCATTCGAAATGAATAAAATGTCATATTAGATCGAGCAGACATGTCAAATTATCATTTGAATCAAATTGAAAACGACAACAAGTGATTTGGAAAAAAGTCAATGTTCAGGATTTGTTTAACATTAGTTTTAATTAATGACAATTTTATTAATAGTTAATGGTTTTTAATTAGCGATATTGGGTATAGTAAATAATGGTTTAATATTTTCGGTCTTGTTCTTTTCTTTGTTATATTTTTAGAATATCGTTAAATAGAAAACAGACTTTATGTTATAAAATCATACATTATAATTGTATACTAATAATAATATTAACAACTATATATAATAGTTGTTAATACTTCAAAAAATTGAATAACTTTTTTTTGGTATTAATAATTTTTTTATAACATTATAAAAAATAATATTGTTTTCATTAAAAATAAAAAAATAGAACAGATTTATTATAATAGAGATAAATCAAGTGACTGACTTCTGTATTAAAAAATTCGAAAAAACAAATTTAAACGATTTTCCAAAGAAAAGAGTTGAATACTAACTAATAAAACTTTTAATAAAAAGAGCTATAAAAGAGAAGGTCAAAAGACGGCGAGTATAGAAGAAGGCGACGAACCCGTCAAACCGAAACAAAAATGAATAGACCAATTATTCATCTTAATGAGAATCAGAACAGAGCGCACCCTTGTTTTTTGCCTGATGATTTTGTAGCGCCTGCAGCGGGAGAGATGACGGCTCTCACTGCCTCATCGAAGACGAGTCTCAAATTTTTCTGTGTGAGAGCAGAACATTCGATGTACTTAACAGCTCCGATATCTTTTGCCTTAGCCATACCCTGTTCAGTGGTGATTGGGGTGATCTTTTTCTCCTCGAGTCGCTTGAGTTGGTCTTTGTCTTCTCTCATATCCAACTTAGTTCCGACAAGGAGGCAAGGAGTCTTAGGGCAATGGTGAACGACTTCAGGTTGCCACTTTGATGATACGTTATCAAAAGAAGGAGGAGAGACAACAGAGAAACAAATAAGAAACACGTCTGTCTGTGGATATGAAAGTGGTCTAAGTCTATCATAGTCTTCTTGTCCTGCTGTATCCCATAACCCCAAGTTAATTGGCTTTGAATCTACCATCACTGTTGCACTATAATTGTCAAAGACGGTAGGAATGTATTCATTGGGGAATGCATTCGTGGTGTAACTGATCAGAAGGCATGTCTTCCCTACAGCTCCATCACCGACTATCACGCACTTTACCGCTTGCATCTTTGGCTTCTTTTACAGTTCAGTTCAGTTCTTTTCCTTTGTTGGATATTTTTAAATCAATTCTTATTCGCCCTTTTTTTTACTAGTTTGCTTTAACTTTCTTACTATTCCTTTAATTTCTCAACAAGAAGTCCGTTTTAGAAACTCCCCTTTTCAAGTTCCATCGTTTTTTTTGTTTCAAGTTACTCGACCGTTCTAAACTTTGGTAAGGTTTGGCTCTTTTTGCCTTCTAATGGTTGGGGTTATCTTTCTTTTGTATAACTCTCAGACTAAATTGTGTGTTTTATTAGTTTATATTGTTTATTTTTATTAATAAAATCTAAAAAAAGTGAACCACTCTCGAAGTTTGGTATTTTAAGTTTTTTTTTATTTTTTTAATTGTTTCGCTTTATACAAAAGTATATAATTCATTTGAATTAAATAATGAACTTCTGTTTATGTGAAACCGTCTGCTTCATTAATTGGTTATGGTTTATTATTTTATAAATTATAATAAATAGTTTAAAGTTGTTAAAAGTATTTATTACATAAAAAAAAACGTTATGAATTTCATTTTTTTATTTTTTTATTTTGTTTTGTGATTTGTAATAGTAAATAAAATCAATATAATATAATAAGAATGTCCATTCCTAATTTTTTTTTATTTTTCTGTCTATTTATTAAAAACTCAAAAAAATGAATTTTCTTGACTAATTTTTCAATACCTTATTATACCGAACAATATCGGGAATATTTTTCCCGTTTTCTTATTACAAAAATACATTTTAATTGTTGTTTAAAAATAGTTTTTTTAAATGAAATTAAATTAGTAAATAATAACCTGTTTGACAACCATTTTTTAATTAAACAAAACTTACTTTTATTTTAAGTTCTTTTTATTACTTAATGCATCTTTTTTCATTTTCCCGTTTTTATGTGTTTTTTTTGATATTTCTTTAACTAAAAAAATATAACACAATTATTAAAATTTTATTATTTTTATAGTAATAAAATACATTGTATAAAAATTATACTGTTCTACTATATATCATCAAAAAACATTTTAAAAAACAATTTGTATTGTCCATCACAAAAAACTGAACTTTAAAATCCAGGAAGATACTTATAGATGGAATATTTCTTTTCGGGTAATGCAAAATTTGAAGCATTGATCGACAACGATTACGACCACAAAAAAGTTGATGTGATGCGGACAAACCTCAAAAAAACGTTATTGCAGTACGGCAAAGATGATGACCTCAAAGGAAAGATTTTGATCACTTTGATTGATCCGTCGAAGCAAATTCAACACTCAGGAATTAAAATATCGTTAGTCGGACAGATCAGTTTGTTTGCTATTTTTAAAACCATTCATTCTACTATTTTATTATAAATGAAACTATACTTAGAGTCCATTTAAAAGTAACTCTTAGAGATCATCCCTACCGGAAAGACGTACCAATTCACTGAGCAAGTACTTGAACCTTCTCGTGGGGGCATTTTGTTCCAAGAGAAAACATTGATACCATTTCATTTCATTAAGCCATTCCAACATTACGAAACTTTCATTGGCGAAGCCGCACAATTGCAGTACTTCCTCAGGGTCCAAATTCAAACAAAATATCCCCCAAGACCATATTTCGAACAAGAACTTTATGTGTTTATTCCGTCTGAAATCACACCCGTTGCTCCATCAATTAATCTTGAATTTTGTGTGGAAAGGAATATCCAGTGTGGACTGCACTTGAGGAAGTCTGTTTATTGTTCTTATGGCGATTTGGTAATGGGCGACTTGATCATGCGAAACATTAAAATGATGTTGAGTGGCATTGAATTGCACATCATAAGAAAAGAGAGTTGGAACAACAACACCGAGTCGCAAATCACAATTTTAAAGAAGTTTGAAATTATGGATGGCATCGTCATTAAAGGGGAAAAGATCCCAATCCGACTCCCATTAAAAGGTGTTCCCCTCACAAGCTCTTACAAAAACATTGGTGGTGTCTTTTCCGTCGATTACTTCATAAGTGTTGTCATCATCGATACAGACGAGAGGAGGTATTTCGCTGAAACACCAATCATTGTGTATAGTCTATCCACCCCAGTAACAATTAAGTCTTCAATGATCCCTCCAACACTCAATTACAACTTGGACAAACTCACTCGAGTCGTCCAACCGACTATTCCAAAATTCTCAGAAAGTTCTTCTGATAATTTACAACCTTCTCGAACATCAGAACTTGCTGTTGATGTGGAATAAATTCGTTCATTTTAATTTTGATTCTAATTAGTAACATTGGAATACTTTATTATAAAATCTAAGTATTATAAAATATACTATTAGTATAATAAATAATATTATTATAATTGGAATCGAATGGAAATAAAAAACAAATGATGAATTGGTTATATTTGGGCCGCATTATAAACGTTGAGTAAAACAGCCGACAAACTCTCTCTGATTTCCTTTGACTCGTGAGAGACCAGTGATATGAGTTGTCTGTAATTCTGCTTGTAAATGACGTTCATGAGTTCCTTGGTACATGAGTTAATAAACTGGAACAAGAACGATAACATTGTCTCTGAGGGGATAGCCAAAAATTTGTCAAGTAAACCAACAACAACTTCAGGGAAGACCGTCCCGACGGCTCGAGCAAAAGCGATCAAGAAGTATTCAACTGAATTTGATACGTCAGTGACATTCTGTTTGTCACTTTCATTCAATTTGATCTCAGCCATCACTTTAATATCATACTCGATCAAACTGATCATCACCTTCTCGTCCTCTTCCTTCGAGACAGTGACCAATTTGTTCAAGTTGTCCTCAAGCACTCCAAACAGTTTTGATGTTGAAATGGTCAGTGTTGGGAAGTCGAGTTTTGGGGTACTAAACGTGACTGGGTAGAAGTGTTCTTCAATATTCTTCTTCTTCACTATTTGATGGTGTTCTTTGCCAATTTTCTCTCTCTTGCACTCGACACAACAGAACTTGTCCTCACAAAGGGGGCAGTGTATCACCTCAAACTGACTCAACTCTTTCCCACAATTCGAGCACTTGTCGGCTTCTGGCGTTTCCTTCTGTGGAGTCCCCACACTCACTTCTTTCTCTTCCTTCTTCACATTCTTCTCCTTCTGACTCAAAACGTATTGATAGATATACTCACACACATTCGACACAATCATGTTGTACAAAACAATGAACTCTTTGTTCTCCACAAAGAACGGCTGTGTCATTTTGATGATCATAAGTCCGATGTTCTCCGCTGCGACAAAGCCCTGCAATGAAAACACAACTCCAATATGGAAGACGTCTCCGATAAATCCAGAGAGTTTGTCCGGGTGTTGCAGAATATAGTTTGACATTCGCATAAACGATGTGAGACATACAGACGACCACCATTCATCCGGTCGTGTATTCACAAGACTCTCGTCCTTTCTGTGGTAGTATCCAACCTCTTCTAGTATCTTAAAGTATATTTTGTTAATAATAAACCACCAAGTCTCCTCAGTGATTTTATTACAGAATTTGTCGACTGTATTTGAAATCGCTTGTGCTGCTAATGACGTGAATATGATGAAAGGACTTGCTGTGATCTTTCTATATGCTCGCAAGACGTCGAAAAAGGATTCAAAGAACCTTCCATCGGTCTCCAAGTCGATGTCTTCAACTTTGAACTTCTCAAGTACATGCGTCACTCCAGCAATGATCATTGGCTCATTGCGTTTGTCTTGCACAACCGATTTGTCTTTAATCAATCCATATTTTACAAGCGTCTTGAGCATATAAACAGTATTCTTTTCGTCGTATGGTATTTTGTCCTCAACAATGATAGACAACGTGTCGTACCCACTCTTCACCAAGTCGATGTTCTCATCCAAACTCGCTACATAGAGGACTTCTAGTATCTCTTTCCATGAACTCGCAACGTAGTTCGCAAGTGTTTTCAACTCGCTTTTCAACACATCCAAAATGTACGACCGGCATTGGAGCAGTGGTGTGTCGCACATCAATACAACAATCGGTTTGAGTTTACTGGTATATTCGGAAAAGACGTCTCTCTGGCTGAACTCGAAGAACGTCGACACCGCCTTTTTCGCAACATTGATATGTGGGTGGAGCCCACATTGTAACAGAAATTCTCGTATCGCATCCACCATCTCCAAGCTTTTCTTCTTCTCTCCTTTCTCAAAGTACCCTTTCACTATTTCCTCAAATCGATTCAATAAGAACATGGGAGGACTAAAGCAGTTCAATTCGACTAGTGCCGCTTTACTCAAGCATTTAATCATCTCTGTAAATTCATTTTGACCCAACAAAGCCAGTTTCGTGAATATATTGTTGAGCAATTCAGTCTCTGGTTTCAGTTGGTTCTTAATCACAGTCAATTCTTGTGCAATTGGAAACCCTATTTTCAAGTCCTTTGGCGAATACAATTTATGCTGCACTTCCATGAAGAACAATTTTCTCGTGTTTTTGGGTATTCCAGTGAGAGGCGGAATACTGGGGTGGTCCAATATCCCCATCTGCTCGAGTCGCGAGAACACGGTAAATGCGTCGACCCACCCTTGGTGCAAATGTTCCGGTGATGATTCACACAACTCCAACACCAACTTCGTTGCCTTATAATTCACCTCTTTCGGTGGCGTGAAATTTGCATATACCGAGAATGAACAAATGAAGTTCATTATTTTCGCAGTGGAGTCAAAGCATTCCATTAGTATCGTAGCTTCAATCACCGACTTCAAACACCTCACAGTCTCAGCCACGTTATCTTCAAACACCAATTTAAAGTACTTCAGTAAGATAGGCACTGCAGTATCCAAAAACGCCTTTAAGATGTCTCGACTTAATAACATCACGGTGTCTCTTGGGGGTATCATGCCATTCTTCGCAAAGTCCGCAAGCTCGCTTGTCATTATAAGAATCATCCCTCGTTGTCGTGGATTCGTTTTGATCTCATTGACATACACTTTATTGTCATGTTTCTCCTCCACCTTCTGTTCTGGTATCAAAAATGCATTTTGAGTCACACTATCATACAATGGCTTCAAGTAGTCATCAGGCAACGTGAATTTGAATTGTTCTACCATCCCCTTAAACTTTTCATACGTGTCCATAGTCCGTGTTTTGACATTAGCGTTGTGCGTTTCTGTGGAAAGGAAGATGATTGTAGTCGCCAAGAAATAGACTTGCGAAGACCCAATTTGGAGTTCGTCGAGTTCCTTTTTGAAGCATTCGGCATACCTTGCTGCAAAATGTTCCATGACTCTGTCCACTACTTGTCCTTCTCCAGGCATGACAAATAGGCCAAACATCGTTCGCAACGCACTGTCAACACCTTGTCCTTTGAAATCAATCAAACTCATATACTCTTTAAACACTGTTTCGTTGAACTCTTTGTTCGACGTCAAGTACTTTCCCAATGATGTCTTGTCTATTTGTGGCATCTCCATTAAAAACTGTGCAACACTCTTTGGATTCTCTTCACACAATTTGCTCGATATCATGAACTTGACTGCTTCACTAGGACTCTCTTTGAAGAGTTCTTTCGCCTTCAAGTTGTAGATTTTCATCTTCCAGTCCGCAAGAAGTTGTAACCCTTGTGGACTAACTGTCTTTTTCCCTTCAGTCTTATCAATTTCCACAAATCCATTTTGTTCATTGATGATGACGTTGTTCTTCAAGAGTTCAATAGAGTCGACTATTTCCGAAATAACACCAAGACACTCCTTCTTTATCGAGTCGTGCATTTTTATTGTAACTTCCTCGGGACAATCCACTTTAAATTCCGGGGTCATCACAAATATCAAACAATTGAGCAAATCGCCAAATACGTCCTCCCCGTTCTTCACACAGTCATTATTAAAAAACAAATCAACAAGTAATTGATTCTCTTGGAACATTTTCTTCATTTCTGTTAACATCAACAGTTTGTGCGTGACAAGTGCAAATCTATTGTGTTACTTAATATTCATTCATACAAGTGTATATATGTCTTATTAAATACACTTCATTATCATCATACCAACAAACGGCGACTTCAAGAAAAATTCTAAGACATGTTTCGTCACATATCCAACCTCATTCTGCATATGTTCTCGAAACTTTGTAGCTATAGCCGAGAAGATACTCAATGCACTCACAAAGTTCGTTTTGTCCTCGCCAAAGATGTTCTTGACAATCGACACACAGATGTCCATGTTCCACCCATTGATAGCTGTCGGCGCACAACAGTCCGGACTCTTTTCAAGCCAATATTTGAGTAATTCCAACATTCGCTTTTCCATCTTTAACACCATCGGACGCTTTCCTCTTAACTCATTCCATGGACTTCCCAATATCGATTTGGAGAAGAACGGCTTTTTGGAGTGGTCGCATGTGGTTTCCTTGGTGATGAAATTGAGGACCTCAAGATGTGCTGGAGTGTCACACCCCAAACACACTCGTTGAAGGTCAGACCCGATCTTTGTAGTCGCCCGCTTTAACTTCATTAATTGGTCTCGTACCATAAACTCCTCACCACTCGAATTTCCTAAGCTCCCTGAGCTAAAGAGTCCTGTCGAATTGGACTGAATTGTGTTCTCATTTTTGTCTTCATTCTCGTCAATCCCACTTCGTGGAGTATCAAGTTGGTTATTTGTTTTCACACTTGTTGAATGAGAAGAGTCTTCTTCCGTATCGGTGTCGTCTTGGAGACATTCATCATCTTCATAGAGAAACTCCTTCTCATCTTTGTCTTTCTTCTCTTCTTCAGAGTTCCTTCCTTTCGGTGTTTTCTCTGGTTTGTCGATTTTACTTGTAATCCCCGGAGACGCTGATGTTTTTGGTTTCACAAAAATATCGTCATTCGGCGTGTTCTTCAAGTTCAACGAATTTTTGAATCGGGGAGACGTTTTCACATTCACTGAAAGTGCGCGCTCTCTTAAAGGGACTTTCCCGGTAATAGACAGTCGTGGCATATTCACTCCATTATCGAGAGTGATTGAAGTATCTTCCAATAAGATCGACTCGTCCGCCTTATCGTCTTGGACGAAGACGTGGAGAATCAGTTTGTTTTGCACTCTCATGATTTGGCACATGTCCTGAGCTGGTGATGTGACATACAAGTCACTCAACACTTTGAAATTCTCTAATATGTGCATTTTGTCGAGTTCGAATGGAAGCGATAAGTCGATGAGTGACACTGTAAACTGCACAAGACGTTTATTCGACTTGATGACATGCGCAGTTAAAAAGGAGAATGCCGTGTCCAGAATTTGTTCCATAGATGTGTTGAGGATGAATGTGGTGTTGCAAAGTACTTGTATTGCTTGGACCAATTTGTCCGATTGTCTCAATGTGTATTCGATTGTTAACGCACACCGCATACACTCAACGAGAGAAGACTGCGTTTTTTTGTCAAACACATTCTCGGGCTTAAGTGATGTTATTGTTTGATTGAAGACTTCTTGGAATGTTTTGTTCTTCTTGTCGACAAACGTTTGTAAGTGCGTCAAATGTGTTTTAAGGGGAAAACTGTCTGCCATTGATTTTTTAGTTTAGCCTGTTATTTTTCATTCTTGTAAAAACAGACTTTTTGGCTTCTTTTTTACAAGTTCCTACTTAGCAAAATAAAATAATATTATTAATAAGATTGTCCCATTATTTGACATTCAATTTGACTGTTTTATTTTGTTCCAATGGATATGTATATTTCTTTGTCATTATTTCGGTGTTGTTTTCGACTTTATTCTACTAAAAAATACCTTACATATAATGCTCTTATTTAATTCACCAAACTAACTCGTTTGCCTTATTTCTTTCCTATTTTTTCGAAACTTTGGGGTCGACAGTTTATCTTCTTCTTCGTTTCATAAATTATTTAATAAATTATTGAAAACTATAGTCATTCTAATACATATTTTTGTTCAAAATGAAATTGTTATAAACTACTTTAAATTGTATTTTTTGTTATAAAAAAAAACTAGAGAAAGTTCATTTTAAAGATATTTCGTGTATTTTCCCCACTCAATTTTAATTCTATTTCCTTATAATGTAGCATTGTCTTTTATTCTTGAAACTACATTATAAACTATTGAACTATTGTATATAAATCTACAGTTTATAATACAATGTTTTGTTTCTAACTTCCTCTCAATGCCATAAATTAACTATATTAAATGATACATGACCCACCGTAGGAATAATAGTTGTAAAACACCCAATCTGCTCAGACTTGAATCGCATTTGACTTATTGTGAAACTCAATATAACTAAAGAGTAGTTTGCACCCTTCAAAACAACTTTTCTCGATATTTGCGCCTTTGGTTGTTTGAACCTCGCAGAGGGAAACGCAATTTTTGAACGCGAATTTGCCAATGTATACACCGTCAGCCTTCAGACGCACCTTCTGAAGTGAGATACAATTTTCAAATGCAGACTCCCCTATGTAGCTCAACATATCTCCAAAATCAACTTGAAGAAGTCCTTTACAATTTCGAAATGCAAAGTTGCCAATAATTCTAACGGACTCTGAAAGTACGACTTCTCGTAATGTCGAGCAGTACTGGAAACACATTGGTGGTATCTCTGGAATTGAATTTGGAAGGACTAAATTCTTGAGTTGAAGGCATTGGCTACAGCACATCTTCCCGATCCGTTCTATTGTATTAGGGAATATCAATGACGTCAGTTGTGTGCACTTCTCAAACGCATTGTTTTCAACCCACCTCACATTTCTGCATATTTCAATTGAACTAAATAAACTTTCTTTGAAGCACGCCAATGGGATAATTTTAATAGTTCCTGGAACAGTCAATGTCTTTGTTTTGTAACACTTGTAAAAGCAAAATTCACCAATTGACCGCACGGATGGCGGTATTGAAATGTCATCAACGGAGCAATTCTCAAAACAGCGAGGAGTTAGTGTTGTCACTCCATCAAAGATGACTCCTCTGTACATCCTCCTCTCGTATTGATTGAATACAACCCGCTTGTACTGTGTCTTTGTTTGATCCATCTTTTTATAATGAGAATAAACGACGTTATACTCAACGCGAATAAGTGGCGTATCGAAGACGTTATCATCCGACGAGTATAAAACAAGTGTCTCGATGTTTGGGAAGAGTTTATGTGAAGTGATTGGAATTGGGTTGAACCTGAACTTCTCTAACGTGAAGCGGAATTTCCTACACACTTGCACGATATTAATATAATCATTTTTATCCTCAAAATACTTTGAAACGATCATTAGCGAGTAGCTGTCAAGTGTTTGATAACTTTTACGTTCGGTTTTGAGGGGGTCCACTTTCTCCATAGCCTTCTACTTTTTCGAGTCATTTTGTTTTCTTCTTTTCCTTCAAAACCATTTTTTAAATTTATAGTTTAAAAATGTTATTGCAAATTATTTTTTTTAGGGAAGAACACAATAATATTTCAATGTTACAAAAGAACCCTACAGAGTGCGCAACATCCCGTGAATACACTACCTTATCGCAAAAGGCTGCTGGTAAAATGGAAGATAAAAACTGGAAGATAAGTGAAGTGTTATCCACTCGACAAGATAAAGTCTTTTCAGTTGGATGTTCTTTGATGAACACTTTTGAGTGCGAGGCGCTCATGAAATTTTTGTATAACAACGCAAACCCAATAACAGCAGTCTTGTTTTATATTAACTTGAATTACTATAATTCAACAACTGGGAAATTGCCGTCATTTATTAACGAAAGAGGATATATCATTAAAGAAATTGTTGGGGCAACAACAAAAGACAAGACAGTTGTTTCCGATGAGAAGAAGTGGAACAACGACAAGCAGAAACCCACTTTTTGTGACAAAAAAATACAATATGATATCGAAAGTATCTGCGAAGCATTTTGTAGGACTCCTTCCGATAAATACGAAACTGTTAAAAATGATTTTGACTGTTTATTGTCATTCACAGTGATCGACTCAATTCAATCATTCCCACTTACCTCCCATAAAATCGATGTTTTGGATCAATCAGAAAAGAGCAATGAAGTCGTGCTGAAGATCTTACACGCAGTCGTGAAATACTTGACAACACATTTTCAATGCGATTGCGAAAAACCAAGATTCTTATTAAGAAGAGTTTTAATGGGGTTGTTCATGCGACCACATATGCTAAACTTCTTAACACCAGAAGAAATCCGGGACTTGATTTCAATCATTACTAAACCATGCAAATGTACTCAGATCAAAACGGTTATCGACAAAAATTACTTCACTTTCTCTCCAACTATATCCGTTATAAAAACAGTTGTGTTGTCGTCCATACTTCCTTTTAACAAAACACTTCAAATTGCATTACTTGAAAATGTGGAGAATGAAAAGAACCAAACAGTGTTGACTTTCAAAACAAAGTTTCTGACTTATTTCCCGCCACAAGACTTCGAGACGTGTGTCAAGTTAATGAACTTGGTCCAAACAAAAGGCGTTATGTCTTTGCTTTATTCCTCTTTAAAAAATTCGAAAACGTTACCCGACAATACCGAAATGATGAACAAAATAAAGGGACTCAATAAACTCAAAATTCTCTATTTTGTTAAAGGAGTCTTGCCGTACCCAGAAAAAATCTCAAGCGGTGACTTGGAACAAATTTTGAGTGTTGTGAAAGACTTTTTGATGCTTCGACACGAAATTAAACTGCCACCAATACCAGATACTTTAGATCTCGGGGTATTAGAATTATACGTAGACATCCTCTTCTTTGTCTCTGATAAGGCAAACAAGAGTAAACCATCTGTGAAGAGTTTAAAGAAGCATGGGCTCCCATTAGTACCACTGAGCCATGTCATATCTGCATTGTTCAGACACACAAGTGTGACATATCCAGACACTTTACTTGGCAAAGTCGCAATTATATATATCAGAGAATTTTATGAGAAAAAAGATATAGAAAACAAGAAAGGAGCCTTGGTGTTAATCACCCTTTTGGCCACTGCAGTTCCACGAACAAACTTCGCTGTTATGACTTCACTCTTCCATGAAGAGTTCATTACACTTTGCTTGAGAAGAGTCTTGCCGGACTCATCATATCAATTAAGGAAAGCCTGTCTCACGTGGAATAGAATAACACATATGGTGGTCAAGAACAAGTATTACCAAAGCTTTGTCTCATCAATGAAAACACCGCTGAGTGAAGACGACTTCTTTTTAATGTCGATTTTGCTTCACAGTCAGAAGAAAAAAGTCTTTGTCTTCTTAGCAAATGCAGTCTCGTCGTTTCCTCGGGTCTCTAAACAATTTGAAAAGACATCGTTTGCAGACTACCGCATCCAAGAACAAGAAAACGAGAGTGAAGAAGCTTTATATGGAAGGTTCAGAGGCGCTTGCCAATTCATGTCCAGTGTCTACTTCCTCGAATTCCCACAAAGAACTAACTTGCCAATCCTCCTTGCAGAAAGAATACCAGACAACACCAGTTGCGCCCTTGCATTCAACCAAATGCTTTCTTTTTGCCCAAAAGACGATTTGATTATCGACGCAATTGAAGCCGTGTTAATGGCTTTATTGAAAGACTTCGAAGAGGACGTTGCTTCCATCATTAAGGCAGCCGGGTATAGTTTAGTCTCAAGAGCTTCACACAGACAGTTTGTTATTCTACTCATTAATGTGTTATCAAGTGTAAAATAGTAACAAGAAGAATCGCATGTGTGTTGTCTAAAGTCACTCGTTCACAGGCTGAATTGTTGAAGGCGCTTGCATTAGAAAATGAGTCGAATAGAGGTAATAAGAACTAACTTAGATAATCAAATGGATTGAGTTTTTTTATTCAATATAATACAAGTAACAATAACAAATCCTAATTGAATAAGTAATTATTAATAATTAGGATTAAAAAGAATTCATGATAATTTAATAGTAAAATAATAGTAAAATAATAGTAAAATAATAAACTAACAGGAAAAGAACAAATGAACTATTTTTTTAAAGTAAATAACACCCTTTCTTCTTTTTTTCTTTCACCTTTTTACCATCAGCCTCACCTTTGTCAGAAGAAGACTCTTGCTTTCTAATACACCTAACAAGGGTATAAAACGCCTCTTCAATATTAAGTTTGTTTTTCGCAGATGTCTCAATGTATTCAACTTTTAGCTCAGCTGCTTTCTCTTTTCCTTCCTTTTCAGAGACGTCTCTATCCTTCACTAAGTCGACTTTGTTCGCGACAAAGACAATCGGGAAGGTTGGTGTCTCTTTCACCCTCAGTATTTTGCTTTGATAATTTTTGATACTCTCAAAACTGTTTCTATCAGTGACACTATAAACGATAAGAAAGCCATGCCCGTTTCTGAAGTATTGATCAAGCATACTTGCGTATTCTTCTTGTCCAGCTGTATCCAACTGAATGTCATTAGAAGTTCTCGAATAAAAATGTTGTCATAAAGATACAAACAATGTCCAACACACAAATTCTATTGTCGACAGTAAGTGTTTTTCGGTAACAGTTTTCTAATGTATGAGTGCCTGAATAAAGCTTTAATAGGTGCAAAATAACTAAAGTTATAATAAAAATTATTATTATTTTAGTACATCAATTTCTTATTAATTTATTATAAAGTACTATAAAAAATACTAAAAAGACAAACCAATTGTCGGATCATAATCAACTATAAAATGCCCTTGTGTCAATTGAATGGTTATCGCAGATTTTCCAACACCACCGTCGCCAACTAAAACAACTTTATGCAATTCAACCTTGTACTCCTCTTCACCACCAGCCATTTAGCTCATTTTCAAGTTCACCCACTTAAATACCCAATCGTTCCACCCTTTCAATTTTATTTTTAGAATTCTCCAAATGATTTTTTTAACTAGAAAAAAACCAAACTTTTATAATTTGTATTTTTGGTCTTTTCTATTTGTGGTTTTTACTCTTATTGTTTTTACTTTTTACAATTTAATATTTTATTATTTGCTGAAATTTCGGCAACTGAAAAAAATAACATAAAATTTGATATTTAAACTATATTGTTTAGTTATTTAACAGTGATATGCAACGTGTGTACAATAGATCAATTTTAGCTCTCTTTTTGTTTCTCAAAAATACAATTTATATTTTTACTTTTTTTTCACAAACTTCACTCCTATTTTTGGAAACCCTAATATTTATTTTGGATGTTAATAACCATTTTATATTAGTTTGAATACTATAACAAATTGATTTTCAATCATAGAATTACTCTTCCTTTTTTTTGTTTTGGGTTTTGTTATTCGTTTTTTTAAGCATTTTGCTTAGTATGGTCTTGTATTTTTCTATTTGTAACAATATTTATGTTTTCAACGAAAACTTCCCGAATAATTTCAAGTTAATCTCCTTGTATTGTTTTGTTTCTTTGTTTCGTTGTATTACTCTGAAGTGGTAATGACCAGGTATAATAATTATTTTAATTTTGACAAAGACTCATTGTTTTACTTATAACAAGCCACTCGCTCCGGGGACTTGACATTTTTATTGATATTGTTTAACCCTGGTCTTTCTTATCGTATTCTGCCACTCCGCAAAACAATAAAGCCGGTCATATTCCAGTGTATTTTACTGTATAAAACGGTAATAAAATCTGTTCTGCCGTGAATCATGCCCGCATTTTTGGAATAATCAACCCTACCACGTTTCTGAAAATCGAAGACAAAAAACAATCAAAATTCAATCAGTATTTCCTCCTCGGCTCGAAACGGTCTTTGCTCTTTGGTGACTTCATCATTGCGAGCTGGACCTTAGGTGGGTTAGGCATACCAAATGACTTCGCAAGGCCTTCCACGTCGATTTGATTCAAGTTGAAGACGTCTTTCTGTTTATGACTATTGTACGCCATCAAATATGATTTGTAAGCTTCTTTAGCGTCTTGGTGTAAAAAGACATTCTTCGCAACAAGCTTTTCAAGCTCTTGTTGGACGTTTGCGATCTTCTTTTCAGGCACTTCATATTGTGTCAAAGGTATTTGCTTCTCTTTCATATACTTTAACATCGCAATTTCAGTCGGTTGCAGAAACATGACAGCCTTTCCTTCGGTATCTGCTCTTGCTGTTCTTCCCACTCGATGTATATACTCCGTTGGTCCATCTGGCAAATCCATTTGAATAATCCAATCGACTTCTGGGATATCCAATCCTCTAGCTGCAACGTCTGTTGTCAACAAAATGCAGTTTTTGGTCTTACAGAACTTCTCAAAGACTTTTGTTCGTTTGTCTTGTTTCAACTGTCCATGTAGAGAAAGGACGGGGGTGTCAATGTAATTCAATAAATTCGAATAGAACTTCACTGCATTGCACGAGGACATGAAAACAATCATCTTCTTCCCTTTATACTTCCTCAAAAATGTATAAAGAAGTCTGAATCGGTCTTTACTTTCAACTAGAACATACCCTTGTTGCAGTTTACTTGAAGTCGCAGTGGTCGAACTTTCTTCTACATTCACAAAGACTGGGTCTTTCAACGACAAATTAGCCATATCTTCTACTTTGTCTGTTTGTGTTGCTGAAAAGAGCATCGTTTGTCTATTCTTTGGAAGTCTGTTCAGAATTTGTCGCATCTCATCTTCAAACCCTGCCTCCAAAATTCTGTCTGCCTCGTCAATAACTAAACACTTCAAGTTCTTGAAAAGAAAACATCTTGTGTTAGATAAGTGGTCCAACAATCTTCCCGGTGTCGCCACAACTACACAAGCACCATTCTCTAAGACCTCCTCGTCTTTTTTCTTAGGGTTTCCTCCAATCAATAAGGCTTTCGACCTCTCCGAGTTCTGCATCAATTTTTCTAACACTTCGTATATCTGAAGAGCCAACTCTCGTGTTGGTGATATGATAATAGCACCAGTGCCATTTCTTGATGTAAACTTAATCTTATTTAATAAGTCCAAAACTGGAACTAAATACGCAAGGGTTTTGCCAGAGCCCGTTCGAGCCTTAGCTAACACATCTCTTCCAGTCAACAAGAGAGGAGCTGTTCTTTCTTGAATTGTTGTCATAAAAGTGAAGCCCGCTTCGTCGAGTGCGTCTTGAACTTCGTCCGACAGTTTCAAAGCCGAGAACTTTCTTTCAGTTAAAAATGAAGACGTTTTTGGCGTTTCTCCTTTTTTCTTTTCAGACACCTTAGCCTTCGCGTCTTCTTTTTTCTCTTCATTTTCCACAGGTTTTTCTTCTTCTTTTAATTCCGCTTTCTCTTCTTGTTTCTCTTCCTTTTCACTCTCTTCAGATTCATCACTCGAACTCTCTTCAGTATGTTCTTTGCTTTCCTCGCTTTCTTGTGAATTCTTGTGATACTCAGTCACTGTTTCTGCATTGTCGTCCACAATCTTTTCCGGCGTTTCCTCTTCTGGGAATACTTCCGCTGCTGTTCTCTTCCTTGACATGACACTATACTAAAACTCTGAACAGGAACCCTGTTAATTAAATCCCAAACCCTATTTTTCTCAAATGGTTTATTCGAATTTTGGAAACTATGTTTTAGAAGATGTCATTGATGTGTAAGTCGACAAAAGTGCTTTAAAAGGAGGTGCGTAAGTGAATACAAATAGAGTTGAATTCTCAATTAAGTATAATGTTTGGATTCATCCAGAACACGACTTTAGGTGCAATGTAGATGACACAAAGTCCTCCAATGAATCCAGAGAAGTATGCAAATGGCATTTCAGCGATGTACCTGAGCATTGTCTTGTCGCACCTGTACTCATTGATGTCATCCTTCAAGCAATGGAATCTGATTTTACAGAACAATTGCTCGCACTTAGTTAAGAAGTTCATATACCTCTTGTTTTTTTCGATGTATCTCTCGACAATGTTAGGTAACAGAAATCCGAATGTCCCGAAGAGTCCTGCGCATATTGAAATAGCGACCAAGTACTCAATGATAAAGCTGGAAAATCTGTTGTATTGATATTTTACATATTCATTCAACGGGAGAATGTTCCTACTCCATCGCTGTAAATTGAACGATAAGACTATGCTGATGGCAAAAATGCATCCACATATCATAGCTGTTCGACGCGGGGTGACATTATATTCTTTGCACTTTGGCATTGCGATTAAGACATACAAGTGAAGGAAGAAGAATAGTGGCAATAAGTACCACAATGAGTGTATATAAATGATATATTGATACAAGTTGACCATAATTATCAAGTGGGTAATACCTATTGTAACTCCACATAACACATCGGCGGGACTATGTACTCCCATATACATTCGACTAAACGCAACACATACAGCATAAACTAGATATATCACTCTCAACCAAGTGTCATCCGTCAGTGCAAACACTACAAACCCGGTATTTGCTATAGCATTAATGGTGTGTGTACTTGGAAACCCAAAGTCCTTTTCTTTAACAGGAGACCAAAGTCCTTCGCCAAATGGTCGGGGCAAACCAAACAAGTTTTTAATGAAATTGCCCACTAAGATGTTATAACAACTAGTAAACGTTATTGCAATACAAGCGATCGCAAAATCCGGGTGTGGGTAGAACAAAATAGTAGTTGGCAACACAACTGCGTATATCCCTGTCCCTGCAATGAATGTGATGAACAAGAAAAAAATATCGGAGAAGATGTTTCGCTTCTTTTGAAGGTCGAGAATAAATGGGATCGTGTCGTGAACAAACTTTTCGATCGTCTTACGAAGCTCTTGACAGATCACAATCATCTGTTTTGGAGATCCCTCTTGGATTCATTCTAATACTATAAAATATAGTTGTTTTATTATTAAAGTATTATAATATAAGTTGATTCTAACGCTAATTCGGTATTTCCTAATAATGTGTTGCATTTGATAACACAATTTTAGGGTTTTACTCTTGAAAAATGTCAAAGGGACTTTTTGGTGTTAAAAAAAGACGACAAAGTCATTTCATATTAGCGAGTTCTTTTTCAATAGTCTGCACTTGTTGTTCCATTTTTTCTACAAATTGGTTGTCTTTGTCAAATTCCGTCTTGTAGCTGTTGTAATTCTTCTGTGCTGTTTTGTACTGTTTCTCGAGTTTTTGGGACGCTTTCTTCCCAAGTGGTTGTCCATCGAGTCCAACGGTTGGAATGACACCATTTTCGGGCTTAGGATACTCCTTGAACATGTCATCGGGGTTTACACTCCACGCCTTGAAGTTAGTGATTTTCTTCAGCAAATCCGCCTTTTTGTTTTCCTTCTTTTTCTTTGCTTGTTCGTGGGCAACACGTTTTTTCTCTTCAAGAGCGGCCATGATCTCTTTAGGATCTCCCAACTTCCATTGAGTCTTTCCATCATCTTCGACTCTGATTCCAATTTTGGGTAAGTCGTCGTCACGGACTTTTGTGCACAACGCTAAGATATTGTCGTCTTTTGCTTTGATTGCTTCTTTACGGACTTCTGTTCTGAAACTGCACCACGTGTCTAAGATCGGAGCCAAATCACTTGATCCGCTAACTTTCTTGTTCTCAAGACCAAAGACGTCCAACATCTTCTCAACATAATGAACCGCCGATTTGAGTAACAAAACGTTTGCTGTTGGTGACAAGTATTTGTTGCACTTTCTGATCAACTCAAACAAGTTTTTCATGGCAGTTGGAGTGTCGAAGTTGTCGCACAACGCAGCGTGAATAGCAGCGCGCTTAGCTTGTAAAGTGTTTAAAAAGTCTCTGTCTTCCTCGTTCATAGGTGATCCTCTTAGTGTTCCGTTGAGTGCAGAGTGCATTGTCGCCAAAAATTCGGAAATTGTTTTTTCTTTAGTGACTGCCTCATCCAAAGCGGTGTCAGAGAAGTTAATAACGGTGTCCCACGATTGTAACAAGAATAATAGTCTCAGTTGTGTTGCAGAGTACTTCTCTAAAGCTTGTTTTATAGTAATGAAATTCTTGAGCGACTTTGACATCTTCAACCCATTAATGTGTAAATGCCCTGTGTGTAAGAAGTATCTCACCCAACTTGTCTTCTTGTTGAAATAAGCCTCAGACTGCGCAAGTTCATTTTCATGATGTGGGAAGCTCAAATCTTCTCCACCAGAGTGGATATCTAATGTATCGCCAAACACATTGGAAGCCATGCAACTGCACTCAATGTGCCATCCCGGTCTCCCATTGCCCCACTGACTCGCCCACCATGGCTCTCCAGATTTCGACTTCTTCCACAACGCAAAGTCATTTTTGTTGTGTTTTTCTCCATCGGCAGGCGCGTCGATTTCTCCGACACTCCATGGCTCCAATCTTCCATACGTCATACCAGCTTTTCTGAATGCCGCGGTGTCGAAATAGACACTTCCGTTTGAGACATAAGCGTAGCCGTTGTCGATGATTTTCTGGATGTAAGCGATAATTTCTGGGATGAATTCAGTGACTCTCGAAATGATGTCTGGTCTTCTAATGCCAAGAGCATCACAATCCGCAAAGAAGAGGTCTTCATACTTTCTTGCGTGTGTACGGGCGGCTTCTTTCATTTCATCAGAGTCAACAGTTTCTTTCAGTCTCGCATCTAAATACTTTCCCATGACATCTGTCATTGAAGCAAACACTTCCGTAGTCTCTTTGTTCATCAATTTGTCCAATGTTGGAAACACTTTGGTATACTCTTCCAATTGTGCTTTGAAGAGCGCAAGCATAGCAGCATCTTTTGTCTCGGACATCGTCTTTTCAATGGATGCTTTGTGCTCGTTCCAAGCCTCTTTCATCGCGGAGATAACAGTTGTGTCGACTTTGGAATGCTCTTTGCAATACTTTGCAATCAAAAGGTTCTTTCGTGCTTTGAAAATAATTTTGTCGTCGACATCAGTGACGTTCATACACTGGATGACAGGGTACCCAAAATAGTCCTCTAAAATTCTTCTAAAAATGTCAGTGGACAAATAGGTTCTAGCGTGTCCCAAGTGACTGTCGTCATAAACTGTTGGGCCACAGCAATACCATCTAATAGGACCTTCACAAGTGAAAGTATCCTTTCCGTCACGTTTGAGTGTGTTGTGAACAAGTAAAGGTGTCGACATTTGAACTTTACAAATTCGTAGGGTTTTTCATATCAACTGTTAATCGCAGTGCAGTGATTTTGAAATGAATGTTTCATTACAAAGTCGGGACTTTCCTATCAAATAAGAATCGAATTTATTCATTTTTGTTTGAAAGTGTGTTTTTCATATTTGGTATAAAAGCAAATTATCGGGAGGAATATCTCTGTAGTTTTTAACACCAAAAAATCAATTATCTGGATTTGATCTGAAAATTAAGAGTAGTTTGACGTTTTCTGTTTTTTTTAATGTTATTTTGACTTTCTTTTTCTGGATTATCAACTTTTTTGTATCAAAAAAAAACAAAAACATAAAATAATCGGTTTTTATTTCTCCTCTTTTTTTAACAAATAAATTTTTGTTATTGAAAAATCAAGTTGTTTCTTTTCCTTCCTTTCTAGTATTTTAATAATTAACGATATAAATGCCGGATGGTATCTAAGTCATACACAAAGCACTGAAGTGCTCATCAATTATGAAGAAAAAGACTGATTTTCGAATCAACGAATTAAAAAGCTAATAAGTGTTATCAAAAAACTATAAATATTGTAATAATTTGATTAAGTTGTTGAGTAAAAATAACAGATGGGCGAATCCTCCATTTTTTGACCAAGTGCATTGTCTGGCAATGAAACGCTGTATTTCGTTCTATTACAAAACTCGGGAAACTACTTATACAAAACCAATGTCCTTTAGTGAAGTTCCAATGACCCCAGAGTACCCGTCGAAAGACCCAAACTTTATCACTCCAACTAACCCTCCAAAGTCACAAAAGTCGCAGATGCTTTACCTCAAACAACAACTCGAAAAGTCGGAGAAAGAGAACCGTCGCCTCTTTGACGAGTTGGAAGACTCGCGTGATAACTACAACAAAATGATTAACATCTATGAAACAAAGATATCAGCACTTAAGAGAGACTTACAAGAGACTTTAACCCAAGCAAACGTCATCCAATTCCAAAAAGAGAATTTGCGCGAGCAGGTCATCGAGCTCCAAATGACTATTTCTCACTTACAGCTGCAGCTTGAGATATCACAGAACTACATTTACAACAAAGTCCCTCCCACTGAGCGAACATCATTTGACTCATTCGTCTGTGCCACACAGAGTCAACAGAATCCTTCAAGAACTTATTAATTTATGTGTTTGTTAATTTGGATCAACTGTTCAATTTGTGAAGTAATCAATTAGTGGCAACAGTCGCAATCGAATGGGCAGAGTGGTGTATTTCCGCCTTTTTTATTCTTGTCGAGTCCAAGTTCTTCCAATGAATAAATTCGAAACCCATCATCCGTGTATTTCGCTTTATGTCTTTTGTCCTCTTCTTTATGAGCTTCAACCAACTTCCTTTTGTCTTCAGCCTCCTTCTTCTCAAGAGCTTTGACTTGTTTCCGTTCTTTAATTCCTTTGAAGATCTCGTCGATGTCCTTCTTCGGTTTCTTCTCTTCGATTTCTTTCGACTTCTTTTGAACCGCCATTTTCTTAACGCGAAGACTTGGCTTCATCGGTGAAGTGCTTTTCGTGCCTGTCATATACTTGTTGATATGGGTTTTCCAATTCTTTTGCACTTTCGGTTCATGAAAAAAAGAAAACTGTAACCCTAACAAGAAGAAAATGTTTGTTAAAGGAGAAGGGACGAGACTTCCTCCAAGTATCGCATAGGAATGTAACCAAAAGAGTACATCGCAACACCAACTAATGCAACAGTCATTGTTCCTCCAATAACCTTTTTCACAACAGGGCGTTTTGTAAATTGGATGAAGATTTTCGACGAGTTGACGAGCACGTAAAATGTGTAATCAAAGCATTTTAATACACTCTCTTTCATCCACAAAGTTATACGTACAACAAATTGGCAAGGCTTATTCATGCAACTTTGAACCCAACACTTCGGCTGAGGTGTGATGACTTGAACATCTTCTTTTTTCTCAACTGGCGCTTCTTCTATTTTGACTTCGACGGGGTGTGGAATAGGCGGCATCGATTCGTAGTTTTCTTCATCGCTATAGAAGTGTTCTCCTTCTTTTATTACTTCTGGCTTCTTTTCTCCTTCAACTCCTTCCATCTAGTCTTATTCCGTTCTAAGTTTGCATCTATGAAAAAATCAAGGTACACTTTCTGGATGTTTTTCTTCTTTCTCTCTACCAAAATACTTCTCTGTACTATTGCTATTGTTATATAGTAAACTGTATTAATATAATAGAATAACAAAAATAATATAATTTATATTAACAAATAGAATGATTTTTAATTCATTTTTAAGAGTTATAGATCGAGTCGATGAACTGACCAAACGCATGCGAATACATTGTGTCTGTGTAGTGGTTTACTATCTCCAAAAAGTTTTTGAAATTGTCTTCTAAGAGTGTTTTATTGAGAACATTATTGATTTCGAGTACCTCGGTGAACATGTTTTTTTTGATGAGACACTTCAAGTATTGCATGACTAATTCTGCATGAAATAATGTGAGTCTTTTTTGTGACTTGAGGTACTTAACAAGCAACGGTATTACAATTTCATTCTTTTCAATTTCAAACAACTCGACGTCGTCTGTTCTTTCTTCTTTCTTTTCGAAGACTCTTAAAGTTACTTTCATTTGTCAAGTAATGAATAACAAAAGAATGGCAACAAACACTGTTTCATTTTCAAATGTAATTTGAGGGTTATTGTATATATTGTAATCACTCGCATAATAATGAATAATTTCGTTCTTCAAATTTGAAGGTAATGCGTTGAGTACCGTCATATCAATTTGCGATGCTCTTGGGGGGTTAACAAAGTTTGATTGTTTCATATCCATTTGTTTCTCATTTGAATTTTCTTTCTGTTTAGCTGCCAAAATTTGTTGGAAGATGTTCGATTCTTTAATTTGTGCTGTTGTGACTTTTTTGAGTCTTTTGATGTGCAACACAAACGTTTTAATGTTCGAATACTCCACATGTAACTTATTTAAGAGAGATTGGACGGTTTTGTTAATGAGAGATGGGTCACTCGTTTCTCTAATGAGAGTCGTTCTCTCTATTTTATTGTACTCTCCGTTCGACTCCGTTTCTATTTTCAACGTCAGCACACTCCCTCGCACTTTGTTGTACTCGAGCAGACGAGATATTTCAAGACATATCTGAAATACAAACGCTTGTTCATCTTCCTCATTCTCTATAACTACATTCCGTTTGAGTTCCACCTTTATCGTCAAGCTTTCATTACTTTGATACATTTCTTTACCCAGTGACAACTTCTGTAATTTCTCAGTCTCTTTATGTGTAAAACATTTGAGTAATTCAATTTCTTTGAGTTGCTGAATTTGTTCACATGTCGTAATATTTAAGGCAATGCACTTCTTTAAAGTGGACACTTTTATAAAAGGGAGTTTCTCTATACCAACTTGTGCGATTTGTTCTTCAATCTACCAATTAGTGTTTTTACACAGTGGGTGATAATTATAATAACAAACTTTATCAACAAGAACTCCTATTTGTGGGAATGTTGTCAAATTCATTGCAATCAAAGCGGTTGTTGAATTCACTCCAACACCAATTTTCATCGGCCACTTAATTTCCCTTTCAATTTGATTTTTTGTTTGGTACAGTGACTCCATATTTAATTGAGTGTTTGGTATTCCAACGATATATTCATCAAAGCTCAATATCGCAATCACTGAATATTTATAATTTGAAGTGATCAACGTTAGAAGTGTCTTTACTTGACGCTCATACAACTCAAAGTCCATTTTTATTACGTTAATATTTGAAACCATTTTACGAGCTTGTTCTGTTGTCATACCTTCTGTTATACCTTTTTGTTTGAGTCCTTCACTACACCACTTGATGAGTGATTTATCTGTCCCATTCGATACAATAAAATCTTTGGTATCGAATTCGGGGTGATTCATCAGTGCTGTGTCTCTATACACAGAATCGCATTTAATGCTCATCACATGTTGATAAGACGCGTTCCCTTTGAAGACAAACTCCTCTCTAATTTTCTCTGTGAAGACGACTTCCCAAATTTCGTAGAATGCAAGTACCGCATTTTGATTAAAAAAGTTTCTTTCGAATTGCTTCACTTGCTGTTTCCTTTTTTCTTTACTTTTATTAATAACGTCGTACTGATCAGTACTCTGTTTAGTCCCAAACTTGATTGAATCTAATATCCAGTTGGGGTGAACTACTACCTTTCCTTCATACTTCATTTTGTGTGACAAAGATAAGTTCGTTGCGACGATATGTGTCACATTCTTTGTTGAATACTTCATCTCACACTTCCCTCCTCGTTGTACAACTAAAGTCCTTAACACGGAAGCTGTTGGGGTTGTGTTCCCAGTCACCCATATCACAACTCCTTCAAACAAGTTCCCACACCTGAATTTGTTCTTCTCCAACTCAAACTGTTTTTGTTGTTGTTCGTTCTTGTGTTCAAAGTACAGTCTACCACCCACATCCATTTCTTTGGTCTTTTTAAGTTTCTCTTTATCTTTAAAATCGCATTCAAAAACTCAACTCAAAAACACAATTGATTTATTCCTTTGTTATTAAGTTGATGCTGGAGTTGAGCCGGTCCATTCTTTTATTGATGACTTGCTCGATTTTCTCTTGATAATTGACGGACTCTTGATTCATCAAGTCCGATATGTCCTCGTCGATCTTCACAAGTTTCTTGGTGATCGAGTCGAATTGTGGGCGCAGTGTTGCTGAAGTGTTCCAACACGTCTCAATTAAGTTCTTCAGTAAGTACGGCATTCCTTCGTCAATCTGAAGTCTCTTGCCTTCCTCCACATATGTCTTGATTTCAAATACCGACTTAAATGTCTTATACGGCTCGTCTTGGTAATACAATTCCCATGCTGTAATAGCGAATGAATAGACATCACCTGCGTTTGTGTATTCGTCGTGGAATGTTTCTGGAGCAGCATAAGCGGGTGTGCCAAGACCCTTATCTTCTTTATTTTTGATAGTCTTTTTAGTGAATCGGGACGTTCCAAAGTCTGTTATTTTGATGGAACACGCACTATTTGGGTCTAATGAATTGACCAATAGATTATCTGGCTTTAAGTCCAAGTGCATGATTCGATTTTCATGAAGAAACTCCATTCCTCTTGACGTGTCGTATAGCATTCGAACTTTTAATTTGTATGGAAGCGGCACATAGTCAATCTTTTCCTTTCTTAAGTACTCTCCTAAAGATCCCAACACAAAGAATTGAATCACCATGGAGACTTGTTGGATGTAAGTGACAGAACCCATGTAATTTGCAATGAACGGGTTTCTGAGTTTACTCATGATTTCACACTCTTGGATCACATTTCTTTTCAACTCTTCAACTTCTTCTGTGCTCAAACTCTCCCATCGAAATTGCTTTACAGCGACTGGAACACTACGGTAACTTCCTATGTACACTCTACCCATTGCGCCTTCGGCTATTGGATTCTCAGAGATATTCAACTCGTCCATATCAATGTGCGTGGAACTTGCAGCGTCTGTTGATATTGTGAAATTGTGGTGAATGTGTCTGATGACCTTTTTACACAAATGGTCCATTTTAGTCTGATCGTCCGCTTGCCATACATCGAAGTTCTTGTCTTTCAGATGTTCAGCAATTTCTAACAGAGATGACTTTGATTTACTGAACCACACAGTGTACGGTATTTTCATACCACGGATTCGTGTTGTGCAGTTGATAGTCATGTAGCATGTCACCAATTTCATTCTTCTTGGAGATAAGAAGACGACTTGTGGTTCAAAGTGGAACACAAATTTTGGGTTATTTGGGGTATGGAATATTATCATCATACTATACGTTAGAACCAATTAAAGTATTATTACTTCTATATTTATAGATATAACAAACTCTTTGTTCCGAGAGTAATTTTTCACTTCGATTTTCTCAAAGCGTGTATCTCTAATCTCTGTTGGTTTTGTGTCGTTGCCGAAGTCTAGGTACTCCGGGCTCATATTATATTTTGAAGACTTACCAGGCTCAAGATTGACAGATCCATTGATATAAAAGTGATATT